AACGGAGACATGATCACTGTGGGGGGGGGGAGCGAGAGAGAGAGAGAGAGAGGGAGAGAGAGAGAGGGAGGAAACTTTCCCCCTGAGAACGGAAGGTACCAAGGACTGATCTGAGGAAAGGTACCAAGGACTCATTTATTCTCTCGTCTCTCAAACTCGTTAATAAACTTGATTTACTTTCATTTTTAATCAGTGATTTTAAAATATACATATTATTATTATTATTATTATTATTAATAATAATGATAATAATAATACTTTAATTTATTATTGTTATCATTATAATTATTATTAAAATTAATATTAATATTTTTACTTTTTGTATTATTGTTATCATTATTATTAATTATAATGATTATAATAATAATACTTTAATTCATTATCATTATTATTATTATTATTTTCTCCTTCTTTGTCTCCTTATTTTAACTCCTAATCTCCTCGCCTCCTTTCCTTTTTTGAACTCCACCTTTCCTGTCTCCTCCTAACATCCTCTCCTTTATTGTTTCCTTATTTAACTCCTCATTTCCTCATTGTTACTCTTCTCATTCACTTGTCTTTGTTTCTTTATCCTCCCTCGTTATCTTCTCTCCTTTCCTTGTCTCCTTACTATCCTCCCTTCCTTTCTTGGTCTCCTAATTCGAAATGCCTGTTTTATCCTTCTCTACTCCTCTGTCCTTGTCTCCTTATTTGTCTGCTTGTTTCCTTTCTTTTAGCTCCTTGTTTTTCGTCTCCTCTCCTTCTCTCCTTTCCTTTCTCAGTGATGCTCTCCTCTCTCTCTTTCTCTCCCTTTTTCGCAGTTAACTGATTGGACTCCCTCTCCCCTCTCTCCTCCTCTCTTCTCCTCTCCTCCCCTCTCCCCTCTCCTCTCCTCCTTCTCTGATTTTTCATCCTCTCTCTTAGGCCTGGACGATATAGAAAATAAGCATATCGATAAAAAATAAATCATATTGATCGATTTCGATAATTATCGATATAATTATTATAATTATTTAACATATATTTTAATTGCAGCCCTGGATGTTTTATGCTATTGCTTAATGACCTACTTTTAATAAAGAACACACAAGCACTGAATTCAAATTCAAACCTTTATTCAACCACCTTTTTTTTTTTTACCACAACTGAAAGTTTTTTTTAAAAAAAACTTAAAAAAAAAAAAGAAATCAACTTAAGTGGCCTGAGTGACATCAGTAAATACTGACAAACATAAAGACTAAAGTGACCAGAAAATCTGATAAATAAATATTTAAATAGTCTTTTGATGAAAATAAACAAAACAAACAAATATATAAATAAACAGAATAGCTTTAGGTGGGAATAGCATACTACCAGTTTTAACTGTGTGGGAAACTGCCCACAGCCTGGTGTCTGAACACTGAAATATTTCTCCCGGGGTCGGGAGATTTTTTTTTTTTTTTCATTATCATGTGATTGACTTAATATGCAAACTGAGCACGAGAAGCAGGACTTATCCACGCCGGTGTTGTGTCGTAGAATGCACCCCTACCGAATGCACCCCCTGCTAGTAGTCATGATCCAAATACTCGCGTCTTTGTAAAATATGAGCTCATTTTCTTCCACTTTAAGAAGCTAATGAGTGGACGGGATGCAGGGGTGCATTCTACGGCACAACCCCTGACCCATTTTCATGCCTGAAGCGCTGTGTTTGAGAAATACTTGCGGCCGACTTCATATCGCGGGTCGAGAGTGGCTAGAAGCTGTTTGAAGCCAGGCTTTTCAACGGTAGTTATTGGCAGTATGTCCCTCGCTATGAAGCATGTTACTGCATGGGTGATGTCCTTATGCCGCTTGGACGCTTTGTCGTATTTTGGCAAGAAACGAAGTCCAGTTTGGTCTGCTTCACTTGCTTTGAGCTGGTGCTGGCAGCGGCTCCAGAGGATTCCGACGACGACGACGACGTGGAGCCGTGGGGCGGCCGACACAGCTCGTACTCCTGCGGGTGCGATCGGTTTAGATGGTAAAACAAGTTGATTGTGTTACCACACTTGTTTTTTACTAATTCTCTGCAAATTTTGCAAACGACCGCTGTTCGCTTTTTGTCAGACTTCTAAAAACCAAAACATTGCCATGCTGGAGAACTACTGAAACCCTTTTTTCGGGACAATGTCCTCCGCTTCTCCTTGCTGTAGCATTTTTTCTAATACACGTGCTGTCTGTTGTGGTTTGATAGGGGCTGGGCTTGGTGCCGTAGCGTACCTGGGTCTGCGTTTGTGATTGGTTGGGAGGAAGTAATGACTGTAGTAAAAGCTACATGATAGGCTATGATGAAAAAGAAAGGGAAACTGTGTTTTTCTATCGAACTTTTTATCGACCCGTTTTTTTTCTATCGGACCACACGTCTATCGATCGATATATATTGTTATCGAATTATCGTCCAGCACTACTCTCTCTCTCCTTTCCTCCTTCTCAGTCGACTAAACTCTTCAGATCTGATCAGAGCAGGATGGAAATTCAGCACACATGATTCTTTCCATCCATCGCCTACACTCAGCTCATCTCTCCCTCCCTCTCTCTCTCTCTCTCTCTCTCTCTCTCCCTCCCTCCCTCCCTCCCTCCTTCTCTCTGCATGTTTGGAAAGAGGGAAAATCTCGTGTTTCACATTTCAAAGGATGCTCTGCCCCCCCCAGACTCCTCCTCCTCCTCCCTCTGCTCCTCTTTTCCGTCCACACAGACCTCCTCTTTATTTTCCTACAGCAGCGTCCTCGTCCTCATCGTCATGTGAACTCTGCAGACTCCGGAGACTCTCGGAGGTCTGACAGACCGGAGCGGACTACAGACAACAATATAGATAATAAAGATAGATGTACACATGGATCAGACATCTAAGTCCACTGATCACATCAGGATGACGTTCCCACCTGGTCTCTGCTCCTCCAACAAAAACCAAAAACTGGTCTACCCTAGACCGACTCTGGACTCATCCAGAGAGAAAAACCAGCAGAGAGGAGACCAGAACCAGAACCAGAACACAGAGAGGAGACCAGAACCAGAACCAGAACACAGAAACAGACTTATGGAGCAAAGAGCCGAGACATCTGAGAGACCTCTGTCTGTGTGTCTGTTTGTCTGTGTGTCTGTGTCTGTGTGTGTGTCTGTTTGTCTGTGTGTCAGCCTACAGTCATTCCTCTCTGCCCACGACTCCTCATACCACCAGAGACCGAGTCTGAGAGAGTCTGAGAGGATCTGACCCCCGACCTCCACCTTCATCCTGATCGTCTCCTAAAAGGTCGTATCCTCCGATCGTAGCTGATCGTAACCATTCAAGTTAACGTGTCAATTTACACCGACTTCTTTCCGTCGGACGCCGGAGCATGGCGGATAAATTCAGCACAGATTAACCCGTGCTGGAAAGGAAGTCGGGCACAGACACAAAATAAAACATCCGGCTTCTTTTCAAAATAAAACACTCCGTGTTTCAGGAGGATCGTATTTCACACCATGCAAACGGGCGGAGACGAACAAGTGAAAGGTTTTTAGACGTCATTTCACCCCGATGACACCATGGATGAGGAGATGCTGATTCTAGAAGTCTAGAAGTAGATTTCCTCCTCTGGAAGGACACAATCTACTGCTTATATGTCTATGTGTCTGTCTTTAGAGAGACGACTGTAATCCACCACAAAATTAACCTCACAAACAGATCTGGTAGGAATTGGCGGACGGTGAAAATCGCCGCTGTTCTGGATGTGGTGAAAATCTCAGGTGAGAGAGTCTGAGTGAGAAGAAAACACTTTTTTTTTTTTCTCCCTCAGAGTTTCGATCGTTTGTCACTGAATCAAATTTTCTGTCGCTTTAAATCGAACTGTGTCAGTAAATCTTCTCTGATTGGTTCAAATACCTTTGTTAAAAAGACTTCAGGTCACCAGAGCGGTCACACACACACACACACACACACACAGCAGGACGGACCGTTGAGTCTGATGTTGGAGACTGGACTGATAACAGTCAGGGTGTGTTCTAAATGTGTGTGTGTGTGTGTGTGTGTGTGTGTGTGTGTGTGTGTGTGTGTGTGTGTGTGTGTGTGTGTGTGTGAGAGAGAGAGAGATGGGTGGTTTCAACTTATTCTCCAACTTCCTGTGTAATAAACACACACACTAACCCAGTCTGAGTTTTGTGCTCCCATCATGGCTGACTGGGGACCGGGTTAAACGCTAACTTCCTTTGCCTGAGGTTACACTGTGTGTGTGTGTGTGTGTGTGTGTGTGTGTGTGTGTGTGTGTGTGTGTGTGTGTTGTTGTCATTCTTCGTTTCAGGAGCTCAAAGATCTGCTGGAGGAGACCCGTCTCTGTTTTAAACCCAGGATCAGAATCAGCTGATCGGACACCGAGCGCCGACCTCAGAGAGATTTGATTAATTTAATCAAAACTGTCCTGATAACAGCGAGCGCAGAAAACTGACAGTGAGAGAGTTCATCAGTGAATCAGACAAACATCTCTGTTTTTCACAGAAACTGGAGAAATTCGGGTTCACATGTCGCCAAAACAACGACAGAGAAAGTCAAGATAAGTCATCCTGACGGTCAGTCAGAGAAATCACAACCTCCAAGTTTACACCAAAATCTGAACTATGGGATCAAATCTAGAATAATTTTTTTTCATATGGGACACTCACAACAAGTCAACATCCATTTCTAAATAAATGTTTGTAAAGAGTAAAAAAAAGCAGGAATTAAACGTTTAAAAAGTTTTAAAAAAGGTGAAAATATTTTTAAAGATCCTCCAAATATTCCAGAAAGGAAGATTTGACTTTTCTGTGACGTTAAAAACGAGCAGAACAATGAAAACGCCCAGAGAAATGATCTACAGTGGGGCTCTATGGAGACTGACTCACTTTGGGGACAGCCTCTAGTGGACGATTAGGGAACTGCAGTTTTTAGGATTTATGCAAAAAAAAAAAAAAAACATCCAAAAAATAAATAAACTGCTGCTGCAGATAATCAACAACTCCCAGCTCTGTGTGTGTGTGTGTGTGTGTGTGTGTGTGTGTGTGTGTGTGTGTGTGTGTGTGTGTGTGTGTGCACGTACCTGTGCATGTTGCCGTTGGTGGTGAAGGTCTGTCCACAGATGCTGCACTTGTACGGTCTCTCCCCGCTGTGGACCAGCATGTGTCTGTCCAGCGAGGAGGCGGAGCTCAGGCACTTCCCACAGATGCTGCAGGAGTGATCGGTCGCTCCGGTGTCGGCGTTGTGCTGCACAGAGGAGGTTAAATCGTCAATTTAGAGACACCACAGAAGAAGAATACAGTCACCGCTGCTGCTGCTGCTCTGTTCATCAGACTGATGAGAGCAGGATCAAACTCTTTCACTGAGAGAAAAGAAGTTCATTTAACCACAAAACTCAGTTATATTGCTCTACCAGACTCCATAGAAAAAATCGTTGATTTTACTGCACAGACACAGGAGGAGCTGCTGTACCTGCTGCCTGATAACTCAGCTGTTTGTCTTATTTTGTGTAAACTAAGTGTCCTGTTGTCTCAGAACTGACCATCTCAAAACCAGAAATCAGAGAAAAGCAGAGACTGACGCATCAAACTCTGCAGCTGCTCTGCAGACGAAAATTAGTGTTTTTGCAAATGGGGTTTGGTGGATTTAAATAATGCCATATAAAATCTGTTTATGGTGGATAAAGCATCTTAATGTTTTACACGTTTAAAATCTCATGAGAAAGATCCAGAATTTCATCAGTTCTTTAGTCCCACTCAGAATAAATCCCTGAACCTCAGAAATACATTTTCTTTGAGTTTTATAAAAGTGGGTCACGACTGAAGGATCATGGGAAACCGTGGGTCCCAGAGTGAGACCAGCTGAGAACTTCTGATCTGGAGGACCAAACTGAAGTCCCTCCAAAACCATGAGGATCCACCAAACCAGCGTCTCTGAGGGTCCGCCTGTTTACCTGTCTGATGTGCATGGTCAGCTGATGTTGGGTCTGACAGTTCTTGTCACAGAGCGGACAGATAAACGCCGAGCTGTCGTCTTTGGTGTCCTGGACCAAAAAACAAACAAACAAACAAACAAACAAACAAACAAACAAACAAACAAACAAACGTCAATAAAGCTGAAGTTTGAAGATCGACAGAAAAAACTCCTGATGGAGTTTAACCTTCATCTTCATATCGGAGAGAAACTTCATCATCATCATCATCATCATCATTATCATCATCATCATCATCATCATCATCTTCATCATCATCATCACCATCATCTTCATCCTGCTGCTTTAAAAACTAAAACTCTGACTTTAGGATTAATCAGAGAAGAAAAACTGCGGACTGTCCCTTTAAGACTTTCACTGTTTAAAGTGAGAATGAGAATCCTGCACACACACACACACACACACACACACACACACACACACACACACACACACTTCCTCTTTCCTGTTTCAGCGACAGGACGTGATGATGGGAGGTGGAATGTTGCAATGTATGATGGGAAATGACAGAGAAGAAATGAACCGCAATGATGAGGAAACAAGGAGAGAGGAAAGGAAACAAGGAGAGAGGGAAAAAACAAGGAGAGAGGGAAGGAGACAAGGAGAGAGGGAGAAAAACAAGGAGAGAGGGAAGGAGACAAGGAGAGAGGGAAAAAACAAGGAGAGAGGGAAGGAAACAAGGAGAGAGGGAAAAAACAAGGAGAGAGGGAAGGAGACAAGGAGAGAGGGAGAAAAACAAGGTGAGAGGGAAGGAGAAAGGAGAGAGGGAGAATAACAAGGAGAGAGGGAAGGAGACAAGGAGAAAGGGAAAAAACAAGGAGAGAGGGAAGGAAACAAGGAGAGAGGGAAGGAAAGAAGGAGAGAGGGAGAAAAACAAGGTGAGAGGGAAGGAGACAAGGAGAGAGGGAAGGAAAGAAGGAGAGAGGGAGAAAAACAAGGAGAGAGGGAAGGAAACAAGGAGAGAGGGAAGGAAACAAGGAGAGAGGGAAGGAAACAAGGAGAGAGGGAAAAAACAAGGAGAGAGGGAAGGAGACAAGGAGAGAGGGAGAATAGGAAATAAAGAGAAGAAACAAACTGAGGACAGAAGAGAGGGAAGGAGACAGGGAGGAGGGAGAGAGGAGGTAGGGAACATAAAAGGAAAGGAGGTATTAAGTGTGTGTGTGAGTGTATACCTGGGTGCGGCGTGCGTTGCGGCTGGGCGGGGCTCTCATGGCTGCTGTGAGCGACTTGCTGGGGGAGGGGCTAACGGTAACAAAACAACAAAAGCGTTAGGCGTTACCATGACGACCATCAGAAGTACAGTTTTGAAAAATGGCGGTCTGCGGTCGGTACTGACCTCGGCGAGGGTCCGGCAGAGGAGTTGGAGGAGGTGACTCCGCTCCCTCCCTCTCCGTCTCCTCCTCCGTTGATGGTCCCTGCCGCTGACATCACCGCTGACATCATGGCGTTGATAGAGGACAGGTCTCCTCCCCCTTCAGCTCCTATGATCCCTGCTCCTCCTCCTCCTCCTCCTCCTCCTCGGTCTCCGTTCTGTAGCGTCTCTCCATCGGTGCTCGCCGTGGCGTCCTCCGTCACTCCGTTGATCGCTGCATCACAAAGTTTCGTGGTTGGTTCATGGTCGCTCCTTCTTTGGTTAAAATGCGTTTGATGAGTTTGTGTTCGTACCTTTGAGGTTATTGTGCGTTTTCTCCTCCTTAAGCTCCTCCTCCTCCTCCTCCTCCTTCAGCTCGGCCTGCTGCTCCTCTGTGGAGTTTTCCATGAATGCTGAAATCAGAGACGGAAAGAAAGAACATTAGAGACTGATGCGGCGTTTTAGTTTCCTGAAAACAAGATGGCTGCATCGAAGTTACTTTAGCGCTGGCCTTGTACGAATATAAGGCAAGATATTCGTAGATGCAGCCATCTTGTTTCCGCCTCCGATTTTACTTTTTTCCGACTTCGTAACTGAAACGCCGGGAACTCGTGTTTGACGTCATTTTCAGCTTCGACTTCTGAGGTAAGAGAGCGAGAGCTAGTTTCATTCAGGACGCTCAGGTGAGTCGGACGGACTGGGCATGCTCAGAGGGAGTTTCCCTCTCTGTGCGGCGTTCTCAAATATCAGGACGATTTCAGGTGACGAATTAAAGACGACGTGATGAAACTCTACGCAGAACCCCGCCCCCAAAATACTTTAGCAACACACGCTAACCCCGGTCCTCAGATATATGAGAGGAGAGAGGGAGAGAGAGAGAGAGAGAGAGAGAGAGAGAGAGAGAGAGAGAGAGAGAGAGAGAGGGAGAAGAAGAAGAGGAGGAAGAGGATGAAGATGATGAAGATGATTATGAGAGCTAATTGCTGTTTCCCGTTTGGCGGCCCCCACAGGAAGACACACTCCAGGGCACGCTACTTCCTGCTGCAGCATGAGAGAGTGTGTGTGGTTGTGCGTGTGTGTGTGTGCGTGTGTGTGTGTGTAACATTCCACAGTTAACAAAAAAAGTGAGAGGAGGAAAAAAAGAAAGAGAGAGAGAGAGAGAGAGAGAGAGAGAGAGAGAGAGACATAGGATCAGTAAAGACGAGTGTAGCTGCTCTGGGATTGACTGGTGACAACTGTTGTGTGTGTGTGTGTGTGTGTGTGTGTGTGTGTGTGTGTGTGTGTGTGTGTGTGTGTGTGTGTGTGTGTGTGTGTGTGTGTGTGTTTCCAGTGACCTCTCCTTGTATCACTGTCCCTACATGACAAACTGTAACATGGCCGCGGCAGGTGCACCACACACACACACACACACACACACACACACACACACACACACACACACACCAATGCCACTCTTAGCTCTGGATTGTTTTTTGCATTAGCATCATTCGTCTTTAGCACACACACACACACACACACGGAGGGCTGTGATTGGCTGATGAGGTGGTCAGGCAGCACTTTTACCGCCTGTCCAAATGTAAGGCAACAAACAGCTGCAGGGGGGTGGAGGTTCAGCAGCTCCTCCTCTCCATCCATGGAGGTGGATTATGGATTAGGGAATAAGAACGTCAGGAACATGGATTCAAACTCAAAGGGACCGCCCTCTGTGAACTAAGCCCCGCCCCTCATCCTGATCATTTATGCAGAATAACCTGATAAATTTAGAGGAGTGTCTAAGACAGTCCAGTCCATCAGAATGAGGATCAGGTCACCTACTCTCTTCCAGCAGACGCTTGTTTGTAGAGAGACCTCAGGCCAGTCTATTACGGACTACAGCGGGGTGCCGCAGCTCAAGGAAGAACATTTATGATCATTTCTTCATGGAAATACAATCAGACCGAGACGCTGAGACAGAAGAACTACCGCGTCTGTAAAATGATTAATATGGTGATTATTACTTCAAGGAAATGATGAAGAAATGATCATAAATGTTCTTCCTTGAGCTGCGGCACCCCGCTGTAGTCTGTAATGGACTGGCCTGAGGTCTCTCTACAAACAAGCGTCTGCTGGAAGAGAGTAGGTGAGTTGTGTTTAGTCTCTTTGCTAAAGAAATGAGTCAAAGTTAAAAAGATGTTTGGTGTCTAGTACTATGTCTGTGACCCTATATGTACTAACCTGAGTAGAACATGGTGTAGTTCCGTTCAGTAACAGAACCTCATTGGAAAATTAGCTGATTTAACTTTACTGTGCTCTTGTTCAAATATATTAACTCAACAGCACATAAATTCATACCTGTTAACAAAATTATGATTTTATTGATAATTCGGCTCAATAAAAACACCTTTACCTTTTTATTTTACTACAGTAGAAGTTTCTTGGCCCAGCTTATAGACTACAGAGGTGGAGAAACGCCCCCGCTTAAGTTTATGTTTTCTTAGGAGTTAGAACAACTCTGAATATAGTACTATGTCTGTGACCCTATATGTCCTGTTGATGAAGTTAGGTGCTGTTCTGAGCGTTATTTGTGGCTATAGAGTGGCGTTTTGGTTGAGGTTTGTTTATGGCTCCTCAGACCGCTGTGTATTGCTATCCTGCGGTCGTTACTATAGTAACAGCAGAGTCACCGTGGAGCAGGTTCAGAGACCAACAAGAAACTGGATCTCTGAAAACCAGATCAATAACTGATAATCCATCAGACCTCAGAGAAGTCTGGAACCGTCTCTGCAGGGGGGGCGCACGAAAACCCACCGAGGAGAGAGAGTGAGAGAGAGAGAGGAGAGAGAGAGAGAGAGAGAGAGAGAGAGAGAGAGAGAGAGAGAGAGAGAGGGAGAGAGAGAGAGAGGGAGAGAGAGGGAGAGAGAGAGAGAGAGGGAGAGTGTGTGTGTCTGATGTTACTGCATCTGCTCTCAGCCATCATCCTCACACTAGCTCTGACACACACACACACACACACACACACACACACACACACACACACACACACACACACAGAGCGCTGACATCCTGACATTCTTGCACATCCATGCAAAAGCAGAAAAAAGGTCACCATGTGGGAGTAAACCTCTGTGTGTGTGTGTGTCTGCGTTTGACTGTGTGTGTGTGTGTGTGTGTGTGCGTTTGACTGTGTGTGTGTGTGTGTGTGTGTGTGTGTGTGTGTGATGGAAAAGTTCTCCCTCTGAGCCAAAGTCCTGCAAACAAAGACGTTGCTCAAGTTATCCTTCCCTGCCTCCTACTCCTCCTTCTCACCTCCTCCTCCACCCACCTCTTTCTCCCCCACCTCCTCCTCTCCTCCTGGTTTCACCTCCTCTCAGTTAGACTTGAGGACAGGACCGTGGAGGTCCTTCAGTTGGACTGAGACTGAACCTGGAGGTGTCTGAAGTGGACCTCCTCCATCATCAGAGTGAAAACAGGAGAACTGGACCATGAAGGAGGTCCAAGGCAGACCTCCTTCATGGTCCAGGAGAACAGGACCATGAAGGAGGTCCAAGGTAGACCTCCTTCATGGTCCAGGAGAACAGGACCATGAAGGAGGTCCAAGGCAGACCTCCTTCATGGTCCAGGAGAACAGGAACACTCACCCAGAACCTCCAAGTCTGAAGTCGGTTTAACTCCTGGACTTGTTTACATGGATACGACAGGAAGCAGAAGCGCTGTTGCCATGGTTACTGGCAGTTTGACACAGCTGTTCAACTGTCTGAAACCACACACACACACACACACACACACATCTGAGCTGTTTGATGTTTTTATTAAAAAGTTTTTTTATCGTTTCTTCTCGAACACTCAGACAAACCAACACCGACTCTGGTTCTGGTTCTGGTTCTGGTTCCGGTTCTTGTTCCGGTTCTGGTTCTGGTCCGTCCCTGAACTCCTCCTCTGGTTCTGGTTCTGGTCAGTCCTTGAGCTCCTCCTCTGGTGTCGGCTGACAGTCTGAGTTTAGAGGGGTGAGGGATGGAGGGATGAACGGGGGAGACGATAGAGGAGTGGGGGGAGGACAGGATCCAGTGACCATATGTCGTCTATTTATGACCTCCTCCTCCTCCTCCTCCTCCTCCTCCGTCCTCTCCTCCTCCTCCGTCGCTCCGTCTCCATCTTTCTTCTCGTCTCATTTAAAATGGACGCTCTGTCAGAACCGACACCAACAGACCGCCGCGGCTCTGAAACCTCTGGGTCACCTGGTCCTGTCAGACCGCTGAAGACCAAACCGGTCCCTTCTGGATCTCATCACATGACTGCTGCCGTCACAAGAGCGCCCCCTAGCTGAGCAGAACTGAAGTCAGTCCTGAAGGATCGTGGAGGACCACTCAGACCCGTTCAGGTAGATCTGGATCTGGACTAACAGAGAGTTTCAGGAGAACCCTGGACCTCAGTGCCCCCCCAGAACCTGAGAGGAGAGGTTCTGATGGTCGACCAGGAGAAGATCTCTCTGCTCCACTGAAGCTCAACTCTAATTGGCTCAGGTCGGCCGGATCAACGTTTCAGCTGCAGCCGTTTCATCCAATTAGATTTTCTCCCTCTGATGGCGGCGGCGGCTTCAGGTGGAGCCGTGGAGGAACTAACGGACGTCTGAAGACGGCGAGACGTTGAATAAAGGAGAGAGAGTCTGATTGGACGACCCGTTTACTAAGACGCTCTGAAAAGGAGTCTTTCTCTCTCTCTCCGTCTCTCTCTCTCTCCGTCTCTCTCTCTCTCTCTCTCTCTCTCTCTCCCTCTCTCTCCCTCTCTTTCAGTTTCGGTGTCTCTCGACCACAACAGGAAGCTCACACTCACTGGAGTCACAAGAGAGCGCTTCGCTGCTTCCCCCTGTGTGAGAGAGTTCAGGGCGAGAGAGATTGATGGCCGTTCTCTCTCTCTCTCTTTGACCCCCCCCCCATGTAACACTTAGCTGCTAGTACCCATCCCCCCCGCCCTAACTTGTTGACACACACACACACACACACACACACACTCGAGCGTCACGCCCAGCTGTGACTCTGGGTTTGGTCCCGTTAGTCCTGATGAGGTTCTGGTTCTGACGGGTCTGGGGTCTTCACTCAGACTCTGTTGGACCTGATCCCTGCAGCAGATCTATGTGACTCTGTTCTATGTTCGAAGCGTCCTCACGGCGCCTGACAGCAGCTCCCCATTTCTGACAAACTTGCATGTTTTTAGCGGCGCCGAAAAATAAATTTCAACCAATAAAAAAAAATAAAAAGGGAAAAAAACAAAAACTAAACTAAAAGAAAAGAATAAAAAAGGGAAAAATAAAAACAAAACAAAACAAAATAAAGACATAAAAGAGGATTTAAAAATAAAAGGTAGAAAAAAGGAAACAGCAGAAAAATAAATAAAATGGTGAAAAAAGGGAATAAAAATGAACGGATTCAAAGAAAAAAAAGAGGAAACAGACGAAAACAAAAATCAAAGAAATAAAACTAAAAAAATAAGAGAAGGAAAAAAAAACAAAGAAAGAGAAAAAGAGAGAAGAGAGGAGAAAAAGAAGAGAGAGAAAAAAGAGAGAAAGAAAAAAGAGAGAAAAGAGGAGAAAAAGAAGAGAGAGAAAGAAAAAAGAGAGAAAGAAAAAAGAGAGAAAGTGAAGTAGAGCGACGTCTGTTTTTTTTATGTTTATTGATCATCTTTAAAAACTCAACACTGACCCCCCCCCCCCCCAAGCTTTCTTGCATCTCGTCTTTCAGGATCGTGTGTGTGTGTGTGTGTGAGAAAGTTTCCACCCTCCAGCGTGGTTACAGATTGACTGCTGTGTGTGTGTGTGTGTGTGTGTGTGTGTGTGTGTGTGTGTGTGTGTGTGTAATGTGTGTGTGTGTGTGTGTGTGTGGTGGAGTTTAGACCCTACGTGATAAAGTGTTGAGATAGCATCAACGGTGTGTCAGCTCTACTGTACGACATACCGGGGGGGGGGGGGGGGGGGGCAGAAGGGGGAGGGGAGAGTCTCAGCCAATCAGTGAGCAGCCTGACTGTAGAAAATGGCCGCCAGCTCTCAGCCAATCAGGAAGCAGAGCAGATTCCTTAACTCTTCTGTCGACTTCAGATGAACAAACACACACACGTTCATCCCCAGTGTGTGTGTGTGTGTGTGTGTGTTAGTCCTATGAACAGCTGTTGTTGCCGTAGAAACCAACTTTTCCCAGTTTAAACCAGTTTCACTCGCCCTGACGTCTCCTGAGTTTGAACCTTCTGATCAAATCGATCAACGATCAATGAACCAATCACAACACACCTGCTGACTCATCCAAACAAGGATGTAGAAATGAGCTGAGTCATGTAGAAATGAGCTGAGTCATGACTGAGGAAACACCTGACTCAGAGTCACATTAAAGGGTTAATCCGTGAAATACGGAGTCATTAAAGAGAGGAAGGAGACATGCTGCAGAGAGAGGCAGAGAGCACATCTATATACATACATCTACGTCTACGACAACCGCCATCATGATGACGACGGGTGATCAGCTGATCACATGACCAGGAAGCAGCCAGAAGCAGCAGGTGATGCAGGTGTGTGTGTGTGTGTGTGTGTGTGTGTTTGATTTGGGGCAGAAAAATGAAAAAAGGAATTAAAGGGGCGGGGATGGAGGGATGACGGCCATGCTGCAGACGGAAGAACGAGAGTATGGCGTGATGGAACAGGAGCGAGGGAGGAGAAAAAGAAAGACAAAAATAAGCGTCTTAAAAAAAATGAAAGAATAAAAAAGTGAAGAAAAGATAAAAATGAAGAAACTAAATAGAAAAAAAGAGGAAAAGAGGAGATGAAGGGAAAGAAATCAAGCAAGAAAAGAAAGGAATAAAAAAGGAAAAATGAAAATAAAAGAAAGAAAGAGGATTAAAAAATAAAGAAAAAAGGAAATGGCAGAAAAAAATGGTAAAAAAAGGATTAAAAATAAACAAATAAAAAGAAAAAAGAAGAAAAGACAAAAATCAAGGGAATAAAACTAAAAAAAGAAAAGAAAAAAAACAGAGACGGAGAAATAGAGAGAATAGAGAAGAGAAAGAAGAGTGAAAGAGAAAAAAGAGATAAAAGAGAGAAAGAAAAAAGTAAAAGAGAGAAAGAAGGTGAAAAGGGTAAAAGAAAGAGACCGATAAAAAGAAAAAAGGGAAAAAGAGAAGAAAAAAAAGAGGAAAGTAAGAAAGAATAGAAACGAAAAAGAAAAGGGAAAAAAGAAGGATAAAAGAAAGGATAAATAAATAAAGGTAAATGAGGTGAAGCAGAGCTCAGTGTGTGTTTGTTTTGGACAGGCGGCAGTAAAGATGGAGGATGGAGGGATGGATGGACGGATGGATGAAAGGAGGGAGGAGCATATTTACCCGTCCTTTTTTTCCTAACGCTCACTCGCTCGTGTCTCGAAGGGCGGGGCGGGCGGGCGGGAGGGGGCGGGGTTTGTTGTTGTGTGTGTTTTTCTGCAACCTCTGCTCACACTGCAGGAGGAGGAGGAAGAGAGACAGTCAGTGACACACAACTACACAACTACACAAACACAACTACAACTACACAACACACAACAACACACAGCAACACACCTGTGCACATACCTGCAAACACACACACACACACACACACACACACACACACACCTAAACAGTGAATTACACACACAGTTAGCACACATCATAAACTGTGTCAAAGGGCACACACACACACACACACACACACACTGGATACCTGCCTGTAGGTACAAAGGGTCACCGTGTGTGTGTTTTTGTGTGTGTGTGTGTGTGTTGTGTGTGTGTGTGTGTGTGTGTGTGTGTGTGTGTGTGTGTGTGCTGTCAGATAACACGGCAAAGACAGAAACCCAAACTGAACTGAGTCCCAGTGCATCATGGGTAAGGCAGAGATACCTCCAGTGTTTTTAAAGGCTGAAGAAACTCACTCATTCATGCTTTAAATGTAAATGGTTCCACCTGGGGGCGCTGCAGAGACAGCGGCACCGTCTGCAGCATATTCAAGAACATGAACACACACGGTCACTTCACACTCACACCTGTTTACCTATCAAGCTGAGGACTATATTCAGAGTGTGATGAAGCGCTGCAGTCTGACCAGCAGGGGGCAGTGTGTCGGAAAATCGGACACTCTAACTGTTTTTATGACGTGTGTTAAAGAAATGGTGCCGCCATGTAGTTTGTCCAGCATGTATTTAGGGTCACATGTCCGAATAAAAAAAAAAATAGACAAATGTTTTTTTTTTCCTGTAAATACGGCGGTGAAGTTAGTTTCAGGTTGGATATATTTTCCTGTAAATACGGCGGTGAAGTTAGTTTCAGGTTGGATATATTTTCCTGTAAATACGGCGGTGAAGTTAGTTTCAGGTTGGATATATTTTCCTGTAAATACGGCGGTGAAGTTAGTTTTAGGTTGGATATATTTTCCTGTAAATACAGCGGTGAAGTTAGTTTCAGGTTGGATATATTTTCCTGTAAATACGGCGGTGAAGTTAGTTTCAGGTTGGATATATTTTCCTGTAAATACGGCGGTGAAGTTAGTTTCAGGTTGGATATATTTTCCTGTAAATACGGCAGTGAAGTTAGTTTCAGGTTGGATATATTTTCCTGTAAATACGGCGGTGAAGTTAGTTTTAGGTTGGATATATTTTCCTGTAAATACGGCGGTGAAGTTAGTTTCAGGTTGGATATCTGACGGACATTCTCTGAGGATCTACCGGTGTCTTCTCACTCTCCATAACCGGGAATAACAACAGCAGCGCGGTTAAATCTACTCGACACCCTCACTGTCAACGTCGGTGTTGAATAAGGGACCGTCAATAAATTACCGGTTGATGTTCTCAGAAAAGGCTGTTTTCCTTCAATAGCTTCACTGTCATGTGACCAAAAGACCTCAAATTGATTTCTAATTATAGTACTAAGGTCGATCAATAAGATAAACATTATTGATCAGTTTTCATTGATCCCCTAAAGTTCTTTGTGCTCCTTGTGAACAAAGTTAGAGTCGAACCCTGAGACAGTCGGAGTCTGTTCATGTTCATCAGATCTCCACAGTCGTGAAGTGAGTTTGTGTTTGGAGTGGAAACAGGAGCAGAAGAAGAAACTGGAGGTGATGTGTAAACAGAAGCTAAGCTGAGCTAAAGACGGCGTGCTGCTCCATCCTGATGGAGGCGGGATGATGGGGGGGGGGGGGGCTGAGCATCAGGAACGCACAAAGACGATAATCTGCTGCTGTTAGAGCGAGCGAGCTGACGGAGGGAGGGATGGAGGGATGGAGGAGGATAGATATAAACTAGTGTGATGGAGGAAGGAGGAGATGCAACAGGCTGTGAGAGTATTTCCAGAAGGATGGATGGATGAGAGACGGAGGAGTGATGGATGGATGAGGAGGAAAGAGAGAGAGGAAGAGAGAGAGAGAGAGAGAGGGGGAGGAGGCAGAGAAAGATTAAGAGCTTAGGGAGTAGGTAAGACTAATTAGGAGGCAACTGAGGATGTAGGGAGGAGGAGGAGGAAAGAGGTGATGGATGAAGAAGAAGAAGAAGAGTCTTCACAGATGGAGGAAGAGTGGACGCTCCACTTCTCTACATTTTTAAATAAAGGGGCGGAGTCTTCTGGAGCTCCTCTGTTCTGATTGGCTGAGCTCAGCATTGTTACAGATACAGGAGGTGTAAGCTGATACAGGGAGGTGCCCCCGCCCCCGCCGCCGCTCCCACCTGACCCCGGGTTTATCACCATGTCCCCCCTCCACCACACAAAGCTCCTGCTAAGCCAGCAGCTAATGAGCTAGCCGCGCTAACTCTCTTTAGCTTTGTTCTGACACTAACGAGGTCTGCTGCACTGGGGGGGCGGTCTGAGGCCCTCAACAGGTCCAGGTGCTGCTGAGGGCGGGGCTAAATCTGACAGGAAGAGCGGGTGATGACCCAATGATTCATGCTGTCATAAATGTGACAGAGTGAATGATGAAGAGCATGAAGACACACGATGTTTGAGCCGTTTTATCGACATTATTATTAGTTTTGTTATTTTACTCTACGATCACCACAAGGGGGCGCTTCAGGTGAACATGCAGGTGAATGTGACAAAAGGACAGAGGTGAAGCAGCGATCTGGGGAACACGGTTTTAACGTCCGACACCACTCTCCCCCTCATCACGAACATCGCCATCGTCAGGATTTAGACGTATCTGTGTCTCTTATTTTTGTTTTTCATTTAATTAATAAAAATCAAAATTATGACTCAACAACGACGACCTGCGATCGGACCTTAGATCGGACCGACATGGTGACTAAAATTCAGGTCAGCAGAGTCACGACACAGAAACTCTATCCTCTACAGACACCAGAACCATCAGAACCATCAGAACCAGCAGAACCAGCAGAACCATCAGAACCAGCAGAACCATCAGAACCAGCAGAACCATCAGAGAGGAGGAGGAGCTCCACACGGTCCGGACACCTTTGAGTCCGCTCCTGAAGGTTCTGCTGTTTAAACCCGAGCTTGGTTCTGATTTAGGACCAGAACTTTGTTAACTGATCCGAATGCTCTGAAGCTGATCGTTCCTTATTGATTTATTTATGTATTAGGGTGAGAAGACGATCGATTGGTTCTGATGAAAGTCTGAACTTTAACATGATTATTTATGTGGACAGCGAATTTATCGGAGGATTTACTTTTAATTCAGATGTTACTTTGTTTTTTTTCTGTATGCCGTGTTTTTATATAGTCGTAAACATTTTTCTTTTTTTTTTATGATTTTTGTACGTACATGTAGAATATATATTTTTATATAATATATATTTTTACTTTTTTCTTCTCATGTTTATTTTATTACTGGAGGCCAAATCAACAAGTGTTCTTATTTTTATTCCCATAAATTCTTTGTCTGATTTAAGATACAGATTAAAAAAAAAAAACATGAATCTGATTTTGAAGTTTAACAGACCGACAAACCTGCTTCACTACAGTCCTCTTTATTTATTTATTTATTTATTTATTTATGAACACACTTATTTACTGTTTTCTGTTTTGTCCTGAATTTATGAGTTTGTGTTTAAATTTATGTTTGATGACATGAAAATTAAACTAAATATTATGTTTTAAAAATAAACCCTGAGTTCACGACGTTTCCACCAAAACAAACTTCAACCCTCGTCTTTCTGCACGCCTTTAAAACGCCATCAGAGCGCTGGCGTCTGCAGCCTCGTACTGAAGACATGAAACATTAACCAGCGCCGCCATCAGTGAGCGCTGCTGGTTAGTGTGTGTTACAGAGTAACTGGGTTAACTGGGTTAACTGGGAACGATCAGGAGGAGTGAACCTGAGAGCAGCGACACCAGCAAGAGATGCTTCAGAGTGTGAATGCAGGCCGGCGGCCATCAGAGCGCCCCAAACACCGCCACGGTAAAAATAACCCGCCAAGCAGGGCGAGGAATGTGTGTCCGTGTGTGTGTGTGTGTGTGTGTGTGTGTGTGTGTGTGTGTGTGTGTGTGTGTGTGCATGTGTGTGTGTGTGTGTGCGCGCAAGAATGCTGCTCTGGTTTTGGTTGACAGGCAAGAACAAGTGCAGAGAGCCTGAAGGAGACAAGAGAGGAAGGAGAGAGGAGAGGGAACGAGGAAAGTAAGGGAGGAAAAGAGGAGATGAAAACATGAGCAAGAAGGAAACGAGGGGAGAAAGGAAGGAGAGAGGAGAGCAAATAAGGAAGGATACTAAAGTGGAAACAACAAAGAAGAAATATGTGAGGAAAGGAAATAAGGGAAACAAACGAGGTCAGACCAGGCAGGAGGATGCAAGCAAGGAAAGGAAGGAAGGACTGAAGGGAGAAGGGAAGGTGGAAAAGAGAGGAAAACAACCAAGGAGGCAAGGGTAGGAACCGAAAAATGAGAGAAAAGGATGCAAGTAAGGAAACCATAAAGGACACGAGGTTAGGAAGGATAGGAATACACTGAGGAAACAAAACAAAGGAGACGAGGAGTCATGGGAGGAAAGGAATGAGGAGAGGAGAGGCTGCAGTCTCATTTACAGGAAGTGATGCGTGATGATAAAATTTCACAATCCATTCATGGAGGGGCGAGCGAGGCGAAGGAGGGAGAGAGAGAGCGAAAAGGGGCGGAGTCAGCGCCGACTGTAAGAAAAAAGGAAGTGAGAGAAGAAGAAGAAGAAGAAAAGAGGAGAGCGTCTCATCGGGGAGAAAATCCGGTCAGACCAGACCAGCTGCTTCTGCACGCGCTCACTAAACTCTGCCCTGATTGGCCAGCTGCCTTCCACCCTCTGTGTCAGCAGGCAGCTGATTGGCCGGTTGGGCCCGCACACCTCCTCCTCTCTGTCAGCGGGTCTGGTCTGTGTGGACTGTTCAAACAGGTGAGTCAGAACAGGCAGGTACACGCTCGGCTCGGCTCAGGTCTGTTCATGTGTTCACGCTCTGACAGACGCTCCTCTGAGACGACGACGGCGGCGATGCTGAGTCATGATCACGGACCCTCACATGTTTACAGATCAGGTATGAAGAGTCAGGTCACACCTGGAATCACCTGTCAGCATCCTCCTGAGGTCAGCGGAATGCAGTCAAAACGGTCCAACCAAACCCCAGTCAAAAAAACAAGCATTTTAGAGTCGTCCTGCAGACAGACCTGACCAAGCGCACCTTTAAACTCTGATCATGTTAACGTCATCATGTTGTTCATCCGGCGTCTTTTTTAATCATGTTTCATTAGGATAATTCCTGCTGTGGAGCTAAACTACATCACATGGCATCAAAAACTGTCCCACCAAACTCCAGTCAAAAAACAGTCATTTCAACAGTTATGGACTTGGTCATGGGGGGCACAGATTGGTCAACATGTCCCCATCCTGACAAACTTCATCAGTCATTTTTGGCGGTCTGAGGGGTCCATCAAGACTCTAAGTGCACTGACCACACCCACATGCAGAGTCACATGTAGAGTATGTCAGTCAGCTTAACTTGAAATTAGTTAATTCGCCTCCGACACCGCAGGATCTGACATATGACTATTGCGCACACGTACATCGCCATGACGACGTTAAAACGATATATCGTGGAGCCCTAACACACACCCTTCAAAAACAGTGAACTATCCCTTTAAAGTCTGGGCAGGGTGTGGAGCTGAACCTGATCAGGTCTGATGCGGACCGGTCTGACCCAGGGGTCTGTCACAGTCCAGGAGAAACCTCAGCTCACCATGACTCAGCAGTTTTACTTCTGTTCAGAGCGCCGCCCGATTCCTCAAACGCTCGTGGGAAAGACGAGAAAACCCCGTCAGCTGACTTTAAATAAACCAAAGAAGAAGAAGAAGAAGAAGAAGAAGAAGCAGAGAAGAAGAGAAGAAAAAGAAGGAGAAGAAGAGAAGAAGACACGCGGCGCTGAGAGTCGTCCTCTGTAATTACAGTCTCAGAGGATGGGGGGAGATAAGTCAGAGCAGGGGGTCTCTGTCAACGTGCAGAGCAGCTGTCTGACACACACACACACACACACACACACACACACACACACACACACACACACACACACACAGACACACACACACACACACACGTTAACAGGTGTCAGAGACAGCCAATGACCTCTGCTCTCTCTCCTCTGTAAGCCCTCTATTCATTCAGAGAACATTAACAGATGCTAACCTGGACGAGCGAGTCTGTGTGTGTGTGTGCGTGTGTGTGTCTGTGTGTGTGTGTGTGTGTGTCTGTGTGTGTGTGTCTGACACTTGTGTTTCCTCGTCTCTCTCTCTCTCTGACTCACTCAAAGCTTCATTCAGTCTCCGATCACCAGATGCTAACCTGGAAAACACACACACACAACCACACACACACAAACACACACACGCACACACACAAACACACACACACACACACACACACACTCCGGTATTCCCGCCGTTTCCTTCTAACAGGAAGTGACCCGTTGTTGTCAGATGTGACTCTAACCGCTCAGGTTCATGTGTTCACCTGTAAACTTCGCTGAGGTTATTAAACTTTCTGCTGTTTCACTCCTTCATCTAGAGAAACTCCTCATCCCTCCATCATGTCTTCATCAGACTCTCTCTCCTCCTCCCTCTCCTCCCTCTCCTCCTCCTCCTCCTCCTCCCTCCATCATCCTCCAGCAGTTGTTTCTTTCTGCTCAACAAGCGACACATTCATCCACTGCACAGTCGCATACTCCATAAATCCACACACACACACATCAACACACACACACACAGCAGCTGGCATACACACACACACACACACACTCAGTCAGTCTGAATATCTGCGAACACAATTGGGAGTGTGTACATGTGTGAGGGGGTGAAGGCGAACAAACACACAGAAAGGCTCACAGAAAGAGATGTGTTAGAGACACACACACACACACACACACAAACACACACACATACACACACACAAAATCAAATTATCTGAGTAAAGTGATTGCAGTCAAAATGGTCCAACCAAACCCCAGTCAAAAAAACAAGCATTTTAAAATCGTCCTGCAGACAGACCTGACCGAGCGCACCTTTACACTCTGTCATGTTAACGTCAAGATGTTGTTCATTCGGCGTCTTTTTTAATCATGTTTGATTAGAATAGTTCCTGCTGTGGAGCTAAACTAAATCACATGGCATCAAAAACTGTCCCACCAAACTCCAGTCAAAAAACAGTCATTTCTACAGTTATGGACTTGATAATGGGGAGGAAGATTGGTCATCATGTTTACAAGTCTGCAAACATGCTGACTCTGAAAAAACCTGCTGCTGTAATCGACCAATCACAGGCTTTAGTTCAACAAACATCAAAAATCAATCAAGTTGGAGAACCTCCTCCTCTTCCTCCTCCTCCTCCTCCTCATCCTCATCCTTCTTTTCTCTCCATCTTTTTGTACGCAAAGTAAACCTTCACTGCTCTGTCATCACTTGAAATACACAACTACCTGTGTGTGTGTGTGTGTGTGTGTGTGTGTGTGTGTGTGTGTGTGTGTGAGTGTGTGTCACCTCGAGGGCCCACAGCATGCTGCTACACGCCAAAGTCGGTTTGAGCTTTGGACCCATTCAACACACAGGCACACTCACTCACGTACGCATGCACACGCACACACACACACACACACACACACACACAGACAGTTGTAACTGTTGTGAGCCTCTGCAGCCCAAAGTGTGTTTTCACTTTAAATCAATGACAAGATAAAATCTGACACACACACACGCGCACACACACACACACACACACACAGGCGAGAGAGGAGGACTACGCTCATGTGACACTTTGACATGAATGATCATTCATGTGTTCATAAGTTCACCTGAATTCACAGAGAGCTCACCTAGATAATTAGGGGTGTGGCCTTTTTTGATTGACAGGTAGTACACACCCCACATTGACTTTAATTCAGACCCTGACCTTTGACCCTGGTCTGGGGGTCAGAGACCCTCTCCTCATCCCTCCTTTTTCCTACCATCTCTCCTTTCCTCACTATCATCTTATCCTCCTTTTCCTCCTTATTTCCTTCTTGTTTCCTCTCTCTCTCTCTCTCTCTCTCTCTCTCTCCCTCCCTCCCTCCCTCCCTCATACAGACTAAAGTACAAGGCCACTGAGTCGACCAATCAGAGCCTCTGCTGCCTCGAACCCTCCCTCCCAATATTGGCCAGCTGTGTGTGTGTGTGTGTGTGTTCGTCCTATGAACAGCTGTTGTTGCCGTAGAAACCAACTGTTTCCAGTTTAAACCAGTTTCTCTTCACCTGACATCAAACTTCACTTCAGCTCCCTTCCATGTATCCTTCTCTCTTTTCCTTTGTCCCCTTCCCTCGCTCCCTCTATCCTCATACATGTCTCTTTATCCTCGTCCACTTTCTCATCTTCATCTTTCCTTTCCTTATCTCCTCACCTCAACTTGGTGCCTTACTCTGCTCCCTCCTAATTTCCCTTTCCTCGTCTCCTTCTTCCTCGTCTCCTTACCTTCCTTTTATCTCCTCTCACTCTTTTTCTCTCTCATCTTCATCTCCTGTTTCCTTGTCATCTCTCCTTTTTCCCACATATCATTTCCTCTTGTTTCCTAACATCCCTTCCTTCCCTCCTTACATCTCCTCTTAACTCCTAACATCCTTTCCTTCCTTCCTCCCTCCTTTCACATTTTTTTTGATCCCCCCTTGTTTGTGTCCTTCCTTCCTTTGCTTCCTATCCTCCCATCCTTCTCCTTCTTCCTTGTCTCCTTTCCTTCTTCCCTCTCTCCTCTGTTCAAAGGCAGTTACGGTGTTTCCTGAGTTTCTTCCCGCCAAAATAAAAGTCTTTTACACCTAAGAGCAAAGGGCGTCTACAGATAAGAAGGTTAATGTGTTACTCGCGCACACATGCACACACTCACACTCACACACACACACACTCTCTCTGACAAAGTCCAGCTCCTCTCGCTCCTCCTCTCCTCCTCGCTCTGATCTCTTTATCGGCGCCACAGAGATGCAGAAACAACACCGCCGTATCCTTCACTTCCTGTCAGAAGAGGAAGCAGGAAGCAGCGAGGGGCTGCGCGGAGAGCGAGCTCTATTCCTCTGACTCGACCTCCGTCTCTCCCGTCTTCCCCTCCCCCTGACTGAATAAAACTACACTACCCAGAATCCCCCGGTCCCACTCTGCACCCTGATTCAGGTTTAATCTGCCCAGCGGTTACACAAGAGGTCAGAGTCCAGCCTAGACTGCACCTCCTCACCCCGAGAGAGGGGAGGAGAGGGGGGGGGGGGGTGACAGAGGGAGGAGAAAGAAAGAAAGAAAGAAAGAAAGAAAGAAAGTAAAAAAGAGATATATAACAAGGATACAGAGAAGAAACAAGAGGAGGAGGAGTTGAGTTAGGAAAGGAGACAAGGGAGGAGAAAAACAAGAAGAGGAAGAAAACAGAAAGAGAAGGAGGGAGAAGGAGGAGAGAAGTTTAGGAGGTAAGAAGAAGAGGAGGAGGACAGAAACAAGGAGGAATGGGTAGGAGGAAATGTGAATGAACAGGAGGTGATGAGGAGAAAAGGGGATGAAGAGGTGAGAGGGAGGTGTGTGTGTGTGTGTGTGTGTGTGTGTGTGTGTGTGTGTGTGTGTGTGTGTGCAGGGCGTGGTGCTGAGGAGGACCAGGTTTCAGTTGAGTGAAAAGACTCTGAGCCTCTTTGTGTCTCTGCCTCCAGGGCGGCACGCACACACACACACACACACACACACACACACACACACGTTTGTATGTTAATGCATGGATAAGTGTGTGTGTGTGTGTGTGTGTGTGTGTGTGTGTGTCCCACCTCAGCACTTTCCCATGGGGAGGCTTTGTTGTGTTTTGACTGAAAGGTAAATGGGGGTTTGGTGGACACACCTACAACTGCAAAGACCCCAATACACACCTGAGACCACACCCTTCACACACACACACACACACACACACACACACACACACACACACACACACACACACACACACACATACACACACACACACGTATCTGACCCCTGTCACACACTTACACACACACATCTTACACACCCCTGTTACACACACACACTTGCTGCAGTGAAGGTTTTAAATCAATGTTTCATTTGTTTTTTTAAACTATAACGGTTCATTGATGAAGAAAACTAAGGACCAAATCTCATTCAAAAAAACGATAATTTTAGTTTCTCTGAAGGAAAAACATGAAAATTTGATTTGATTTTGGTCAAAAATGAAAGTTTAATATTTATCTCAGAGTTCTGTGAAAATGACCAAACCAACCAATCACAGACTTTAAAATAACGATGAGAAATAAACTGGATCTGAATTAACAACCATCCAGACATGAGAGAGTGTGAGCAGTGAGCAGTGTCCTCGTGTGTTTGGACGTTTAGTCTGCAGACTGAGGACACACGTGTGCACACACTGACTCTTCTTCATGCTTTAACATAGTTTAAAGTTAAGCCAAAGGAAGGAAGCAAGGAGAGGAAACAAGGAGAGTTATCCAGAAAGTATAAGGAAAGACAACAAGAGAGGAAGGGAGCAAACAAATGTGAATGAGGAGGCAGAGGAGAGGAAACAAGGAGGGAGGAGGTAAAGGGAAGGGGACACAAAAAGTGGGATAGTGTGACAAGGAAACAAGAACATAAGGGGGAAAGGAAATAAGAAGGTTATGAGGAGGAATCAGAGACAAGAAGGGAGGGAAGAGAAGAGGAAACAAGGAGACAACTAGGAAACATAGGAAAGGAGGAAACAAGGGGACAACTAGGAAAGGAGGAGACACTCAGGATGCTCAGGTAAAGGTGAGAGACACAAAACTGTCTGGGGGAGGGGCATGTCAGGGCTGCAGTCACCACGGCAACAAGGTGTGTCCAATGGTACAATGGTACCTTTCAGAGCAGGGAGGGGCTGAGTGTGTGTGTGTGTGTGTGTGTGTGTGTGTGTGTGTGTGTGTGTGTGTCAGATTACAGCCCTGCTAACAGTCAGATTAATGAGGATTATGTCGGCTGGGTCTGTTTGCTTCATTCACACATGCTGCTAAACTGAACTACACACACACACACACACACACATACACACACACACACACACACACACACACACACAACCACAGCGAATCTACACAACTCTGACATCACCTCACAACCGAACATAGGTGTGAAATCCCACAGACGTGTTTAACCCTTTCCTCACCTGCAGTAATTCTGATGTTAATAAAGACCAGAACCATCAGGTCCAGTAGAACCTGTGGTTCTGATCAAAGAGCTGAACTCTGAAACCTGGAGCAGAACTCTCATCAACAACACAAACGTTCACCGACAGAATCAGAGTCTGAAAAACGGTCAGAATAAAGTCAGAATAAAGTCACATCCTTCATCCTGAAAGACCCTCCTCCTCGGTTTTTACTGTGGGGGGGGGGGGGGGGTCAGGTAGTGTGTGAGTGTGAACGTGCACGCAGCCTGTTACTGTTACTCCAGACTTTTATTTCACTTCTTAACCTTTTTTTAGGTTTTTATTCTTTTAAATCTTTCCTGCTGGTGGTCCTCAGACTTTCTCACTCCTCCTCCCTCAGAGACTCGGACCCTCAGAGACTCGGACCCTCAGTCAGTCTTTACCTCGACTCTGCTCACTGTTTATATGTACACAATATTTACTGTTTGTGTTGTTTATTTTGTACACACTTGTATATTATCTCTGTATTTGGACTTATTTTATCTCTTATTTATCTTCTACTTTATTTTCACTGGAGTTCCTGGAACAAAAGCTGTTGAGGATTATTAAAGTGGTTCTGATTCTGATTCTGTCACTAAATGATCTGAAACACTCAGAGGTTCAGACAGAGAAGAAACCCTGACCTTTCAGAGGGTCAAACCTGTTTTTGTTTTTAATCTGCAGAAGGTCGAGATTACGACTCAAACTCCATCTACCTGATTTTAACGCCACAAACTCGCCTGCTATTTGCTCGCTCGCCCGCTCTCTCGCTCCCCCCTCCCTCGCTCTGATCCTCAGCAGCAGCCAGCTGACAAACTGTTTAGTCAGCAAGTAAGGCAAGTGGGGGAGGAGGGCGAGTGAGCAAGACACAACCAGAGAGAGAGAGAGAGAGAGAGAGCGAGAGAGAGAGAGAGAGAGCGAGCCTCCCCATCATGGTTTAAGGGGAGTGGGATGATCCACTCTGCAGCTGCAGGAGGGAAGCTGGAAGGTTCCACTGCCAACAGAGAGGGGTGTGTGTGTGTGTGTGTGTGTGTGTGTGTGTGTGTGTTGATTTAAAACACCTGAGAAGAACCTGCTGCTGCCAAATCAGAGGATATAAAGTCACGTTTCCACCTAAACTGAGCAGAACTCTGGATCCTGTTTGCAGACACTCCTGAAAAAGTAGAGTACCAACTAAAACAGCTCGTCCAATCAGATCTGTTCCGCACTGAAAGCTCCTCCCACATACAGAGGAACTTTTGACGAGGTGTCACACTAAGTTGTTCCAAACAGACTCAGTCAGTCCAAAGGTTCCTGATCCCTCTGAGAAGTTCAACAGGAACTATCAAAGGAACTGATTTCAAACTTCTCCTTCTCCTGAAAATGTCTCGTCAACAACTTTTTAACTGACACAACATTTCTCCAGACTTTTATGTTGAAAGGGCTAAGCAGGAAGTGCTTCCTGGTTTTGTGCAAAAATGTGAGCTGAGAAAGTTCCTGTACAGAGAAACGGTACCAGGACGACAACTGCAGAGGACCACGTATAAACAACAACAACAACAACAACAACAACAACAATGATAATAATAATAATTATAATAATAATAATTATTATTTTTATTATTATTATTGTTGTTATTATAAAAATGATTCATGATTAAACTCATGTGTCAAATTTAACTAACGAAGAAGAAAGAAGTTTTTATAAAGTTCTTCATCAGATGATGGGGGAGGGAGGGGAGAGAAGGAGGAGGAGGAGGAGGAGGGAGGAGAGATGTTTCACTCTCAAATGTAGGCCAGACCTGTTGTATGGGATGCCAGTACCTCTGAGGGAGAGTGTGTGTGTGTGTGTGTGTGTGTGTGTGTGTGTGTGTGAGAGTGTGGGTGTGGTGAGACTGTCTTGCTGATAAGCAGCTTGTGGAGCTAACTACCACCGCATGGGAGTGTGTGTTAGTGTGTGTGTGTGTGTGTGTGTGTGATCCTCAGGGCCACCTCCAGCCTGTTCTCCGCCTGCAGCAGCAGCAGCAGCAAATAAAGCCGTATTTACTGAGAGTCCGAAGTCCGAGCGACTCGGCTCTGAAAGAATGTCACAACGAGTCTTAGAGGGGGGAGGAGCTGAGGAGAAGAGGAGGAGGAGGAGGAGGAGGAGGATGCTACCTGAAGAAGCTTATCTGGACCTGCTTTATGGTTTTATGAAGATCAACCTGCTGCTGGTTCTTCATTAAAGGAGCAGTTCAACTTTTTAAAGGGGCTGTGAGCTGAGCTGCATCCTGCTTCACTGCTTAGTATTATTATTATTATTGTTGTTGTTGTTGTTATTATTATTATTATTATTATTGTTGTTATTATTATTATTAATTTTATTTTTATTATTATTATTATTACTATTATTATTATTGTTGTTGTTTTTATTACTATTATTATTATTATTGTTGTTGTTGTTTTTATTATTATTATTATTATTATTATTATTATTGTTATTGTTATTATTGTTGTTGTTGTTATTATTATTATTATTATAGTTGTTGTTGTTCATTATGTTTTCGCTGAATGCACTCCAGAACCAGAACCACCTCTCTCTGGGTAAATGCTGACTCAGCAAACTTCCCTAAATGACAGAAATGTGAGTCACTGAATCCTGATTGAACTGTTTGTTAAAATGAATAATTACTGCTGACCAGGAGGAGGAGAGATGGAGGAGGAGGAGGAGGAGGAGGCTGAGGAGCGGAAACAGGAAGTGAAGCAGCCTCTCATCAGGAGGAGGAGGAGATTGAGGAAGTGCAGAAACAATAGCCTCTCTCTCTCTCTCACACACACAGACACACACACACAGTTACATAAGTGTCAGAGAAGTTTTCATCCTCTGCAGAAACACAAACAGAACCTTTGATCAGAAACTCACGCCTGAAGAAAACATCAGAACCATCTGAAGTCTCACAATCCAGAACTGAGGACCAGAACCAGAACCTGGGGGATCATCGGCTCCAAACAGGCAGCCTGATGCAAAGTACAAACTCAGGAGTCGGGTCAAGACCACAAGAACAGGACCAAAACTGAAACACAGCAACACTACTGCAGGACCAGAACCTTTCAGTCTGCAATACAAAACCTCATTAAGAAAACAGTCATTTTAACATCCACCAGGACTTTCTCAGGCATCCAGGTCCTGATTCTCCAACACAGATCAGATTTAACACCTACAGCAACACGGGAGTCAGACTATCAAAGTCCTTTAAACACATCAGTAGATTAAAACACCAGGATACCTGTGAGAAAAAAACTAAACCGACAGAGAGGGAACTTTTCTGTCTGAACCAAACCTCATTAAGAAAACTGTCGTTTTTAGAAACACTGAGATGAGGATCTTTGAGAGCTGCCAGCAGCAGGAGATCGTAATATTTACTCTCTCTAACTTTAGAGGATCCACTGCTAAATAAAGAAGGTGGTCTGTGTGTGTGTGTGTGTGTGTGTGTGTGTGTGTGTGTATGTATGTGTGTGTGTGTGTGTGTGTGTGTGTGTGTGTGTGTGTGTGTGTGTGTGTGTGTGTGTGTCCTACTTTAGCACTCTGCTCTCAGGTTACTCCCATCCTCCCGGTCTCTCTGAGAGGACTCGGTGTTCAGCTCTGAGCAGACCATGATCCATCACTCTGTGTCTGATCAAAGTATGATGATCAGCTGATCACTGCCTCAATCATGACCTCTGACCTCCTTATTCTGACCACAAACAGCTGCGGTTCACCTGTGACTCACCCCTGTCATACGTTCATGAGGTCTGATTGGTTCACAGTAAACAGGGTTCAGGTCTAACTCTGTCCCTCCTCAGGATCTGAGTCTGACTCTCCCTCAGCTTCACTGTAAATACGTGGTTCTGTCACGATGGTTCTGGCCCGGTTTGGGTCCAAAAACACTGAAACATCAGAACCTTTTGAGTCTATCTGTGAAGTTGAGACGAGGTCTTCAGCTCAGACCGGCTCTGCAGGTCTCTGAGGACAGACCAGTCAGGGTCGGGGGATGGAGGACGTGTGATGAGCCATTTGGTCCACAGGCTGAGGTGGGACACTCCCACCCCTCCCCCACCCTTCCTCCCCCTCCACACCTCTGCGTCTACATCCTCACCCTCAGACCTCCCCCACCCGACCAGGAGCCACTCCAGGCTCCGCCCCGATGATTCACACCCGGGCCGTCCCCACAAAGACACCCGTCCTCAGAGCGAGTTCATCCCTGACAGTCACCTGACTCAGACGGTTCAGGAAGGATCTCTGCGCTCCTCCTCAGGTCTGCGCTCCTCCTCAGTGAGGAAACTGTGAAGATCCTCACAGACCAGACCGAGTTTAAAACTCAACTTAAAACAGTCTCAGTAAATAAACTCTTTTAACCCTCAGAGGTCTGGGTTTGAAGAAGTCCGGTTTCAGTGGACCACAGCCGGTCCCCGAGTTTCTGTCCTGAACTCTAAAAGGTCAAAAAGTCTCAATCTAAAACTTTTAAAGTCGTGTTTTTAAGAAGTGAGTGTTTCTGTCACGACTCAGCTTTAAGGACTTTTAAAGCTCTTTTAGTGTCAGTTCATGTTCTTCCTAAAAGCTTTTAAAATATCAGCTGATCAGGTCGAAGGAGTTCTGGTCCAGGAGTAAAAAGTTCAAATTACCAAAGACTAATTAAAATTAGAGCTTCTGTGTCGATTTAAAGGTTAAAACAGCCGATTATCAGCTGATTATCAGCTGATAATCAGCTGATAATCAGCTGATAATCGGCTGATAATTGGTTGGGGGAAGAACTCCGATCAGGAGAAAAGAAAAGAGCGGCTGTTAGAAACTGAAGCGAGCTCGCTGATGTCGAAGCTGTCACAAAGATGGCGAGTAGAGGACGTGACGTTCGTTTCGCACATGCACAGAGCAAATCGGGTTTCCGGGACAAACAGGTAGTGACAGCGCCCTCTCTGTCCGACGTGGTCCTGACTCGTTAAAAAACCTGAAGTCTGTGCAGGAAAGGTGAAAAACATCATGGAGGGAAACGCCGTAGCGCCATCCGCCATGTTTACAGAGCGACCAATAACCTCGAGGACACGTGAAGAAGACTTCTGGTCCAAGTCTGAACGAGTCAGAAAAACCTGAACGAGGCGGAGGACTGACGGAGGAAACCATGAGTCAGCATAAAATAAAAACAGCTGAGTCGACAAAAAAAACAGACGATTAAACAGAAGACACTTTGAGTTTTTCTGTCTCCTCCAGGCTCCCGTACACCTGTCCTACACTCCTGACCTGAACTCTCAAACTCCAGAGAGTGAGTGTGTGTGTGTGTGTGTGTGTGCGTGTGTGTGTGCGGTGGGGGGATGTAACCCTAGCTCATCTAAAAGAGGAGGGTCTATAAATAGAGGTCTGAGCAGAGAGGAGGAAACATCAGGAGGAGCAGGTCCACCTCAGCAGCTCCATCTCAGCTCATCCTGGACTCTGATTGGCTCTGACAGCGGCGGCGGCAGAACTCGCCCAGAGAGCGTGAGCAGAAACCCCGCCCACTTCCTCTAACACCTGAGTTTAACTCTGTGGTTAAAGTCACATGACAAGAGGTCGCCCCCCCCCCTCAGACCCTGAAGTATCAGGGGGTCTCGGGTGTCAGACGCCCACAGACGAGGGTCGTCATCGTCTGTGAAACCACGACTATCAGAGAGCATCATGGGACTGAAACTGTCAGGATCAATGGAGAGAGTGTGTGTGTGTGTGTGTGTGTGTGTGTGTGTGTGTGTGTGTGTGTGTGTGTGTGTGTGTGTAAATGGAGGTTAATGTGCCGACAACAACAGTCTCGGGGGGGCAGAGAGCTTTTAATTAGCTGCTTCACTTCAGTCTCTGAGGACACACACACACACACACACACACACACACACACACACTCATTGATACACTGACACATTAACACACACACACACACATATTAAGACTAAAACAGCTGATTTATTAAATATAAATCAGCTGTTTTTTTAGTTTTTTTTTTAGTTTTTTTTTCTCTTTTTTGTCAAAAATTAAAAACATTAAAGAAACTTTTCTGGAGTTTAAACTTTAGATTATTGATTATCTGTAAATCTGTGAGTTTGAGCAGAGACTCTTATTTTGAAAGTCAAACAGCTGATCTATGATAGACCCCCCCCCCCCATCAGGACTACAGAGCCCTGAAGTCTGAACCAGCAGAGTCCATGAAACCGGATTGACAAACTGACTTTTCCTCTTTTCACCTGTGCAGGTAAAAACACCGTCATCCTCCATCATCATCATCATCCTGCTGCTTCATGTCGCTACACGACCGTGACTGCTGCTGCAGGCTGTGTGTGTGTGTGTGTGTGTGTGTGTGTGTGTGTGTGTGTGTGTGTGTGTGTGTGTGTGTGGCTTCAGTTCCCACAAAAAGCACTCACAATGGAGGATGCCCCCGTTGCACAAGACTCTCTTTGTGTGTGAGTGTCAGTGTGAGCGCGTGCGCTTGTGAGCGTGTGCGTGAGCGGGACACATCATCGGCTACATCATCGACCGTCAGCATTTTAAACGTCCGTACGACACCACAGAAGAAGAAGAAGGAGAAGAAGAAGAAGAAGAAGTGGAGTCTGTCTAAACTTCGCAGAGTTCGAGGAAATAACAGTCAATCTCCCAGCATCCTTTGCAGCTGCTGCACAAATATAAAGACGAACACTCAGAGATGACCGAGCTCATCATCAATCATCTGTTCTCATCTTCTGATTCACGACCACGCCTCCTCCTCCTCCTCCTCCTCCTTTTTCTCACTCATCTCCATTTTAAAAATCTGATGCTTCTCCAGTGACAAGGAGTCAAGGAGTCAAAGAGTGAAGGAGTCAAGGAGTCAAGGAGTTGAGGAGTGAAGGAGTCAAGGAGTTGAGGAGTGAAGGAGTTGAGGAGATAAGGAGTAGAGGAGCAGGTCTTTCTGTGATGATAACAAATTAATTTTTGTCCCACAGATGATCGTCAATAATCAATATGATTGTGGATATTATCTGGAGACCACATGACCCTTTACTGTATCAATAATAAAGTCATTAATCAATTTTAACTCAGTTTGATCTCTTTCAGTGTTTGAACGTTTATCTCTGTCTAGTTTTAATGACAGGATCGTCTCTTATTTGAGTTTCTTTGACTGTTTTTATTTCTTTTATTGATCGTTTCTTTGTTTGTAGATTTTAAAGCTCCAGTGTTTCTTTCTTCACTTTTAAGTCTTTTTAACTTCATGTGTTTTAACTCTGTGTCTGTTTACATCGTTGGAATGAGGCGTCGGGTTAGATTTGACTTTTCTTTGTTTTCCTTTTTCTGTGTAAAACACTTTGTGCTTCCTGGTCGTGGATGAAGAGATATCAATAAAGACTGATTGATTGATTAATTGATAAATAAATAAATATAATCTGAGTCCGTCCTTCGATCTTCTCAGCTGGATTTCTTCGGTTCTGTTTTACGTTGTGGACCAAACGCCTCAGTGAGTTCTGACTGTGGGGATCACGGCTCTGTCGTTCGCCCCTCTGGGTGAACTGGGTCGTGGTTCTGTTTCAGGTTTAGGGGATGGACGGCTGTTGTTGTTGTTGTTGACATCACTTTGAACTCGTTCGTCTCACTGTTGTTGTCTTCGTCTGTCTTTGCTGACATATTCCCTCACCTCTGCTCTCCTCTTTCTCCTCATTTCTACCACGTTAGCTCACGCTGCTCCTTATGAGCCTCACTTTCTGCTCCGTGTGTGTGTGTGTGTGTGTGTGCGCGCGCGGTGTTGGCCCCGCCTCCCCCGCAGAGACAAAGAGGTTGGATGACTGACAGGAGGGTTCACTCCGTTCACTCTGCTGTGGAACAAACGCGCCGCCCAGGTGTTCAGAGCGATGAGAGTGAACCTTCATGTCATCATCTGGAGAGGCGAGGAAACACACACACACACACAAACACACACACACACACACACACACACACACACACACACACACACACACACGGGAAAATAACCACTTCATTTACCCTGTGATCAGTTTATTTATTGATTAACAACCCGAGACTAAGAGCGAGTTAAAATTTACACCTCAGCAAAAACTGAGCGAGCGAGAGAGAGACACAGAGACAGAGAGACAGAGAGAGAGAGAGAGAGAGAGAGCAAGAGAGAGAGAGAGAGACACAGAGAGAGAGAGAGAGAGAGAGAGAGAGAGAGATCTGCGCCTGTCGCCGAGGGCCCAGCTCGGCCTCAGTGTTGAATTTCGTAATGGAATGCTAACTGCTCATCCGGATCTCTCCTCCTTCTCCTCCTTCTCCTCCTCCTCCTGTTCCTCCTTATGCAGAAGGAGGAGAGGACCAACGACTGAAACCATCTCATATAAACTCAAACTTCTCCTCAAACTGTGCAGACACTCCGACAGGTTCCATGAGCCGCAGAGGGAGGAGAAAAATGCAGAACAGCCCACGAGAGAGAGAGAGAGAGAGGGAGAGAGAGAGAGAGAGAGAGGGAGAGAGGGAGACAGAGAGAGAGAGAGAGAGAGAGAGAGGGAGACAGAGAGAGAGAGAGAGAGAGAGAGGGAGAGAGAGAGAGAGAGAGAGGGAGAGACAGAGGGAGAGAGAGAGAGAGACGTCCTAAACTCGCCGTGAAGAACTAAAAGACGCACCAAAGTGACCGCAGGACGATTACAGAGACAAGAGGAGCCACGAAGTTAGGGACGGTCCAGAACAGGGAGACCCAGAGAGAACCTGCAGGAGGTCCAGACCATGAGGTCCAGACCATGAGGTCCAGACCATGAGGTCCAGACCATGAGGTCCAGACCATGAGGCTCTTTTAGTGGAGGACAGATGATCTACGAGGACAGACTGACTGTCCTAAACTACATTCAAAAACTAGGAAACAAAGTTGAACTTCATTTTAGGAGTAAACTAATCAGATCTCCATGACGCTGAAGTGAGACTGTAGCGTTATGATGCGCCGACCTGTGTGGGGCGAAAAAATTTGGCGTTTTTTAACATCGATTTGAAGGTTAAAATATTAATATCTGTCCTACGTCGACATCAACCTAGTAAAAATATTTTATGAACTCATTCACTATAATTCTGTATGATCTAAACTGGGCAGTCGAGGAGTTTTAAATGTCGGCGCTGTTGTTTGTGAAAGATAGTTAGAGACGCCAAGACCCGCCTTGCGTTCCTTCTGATTGGGTTATATTGGGTGGTGCCTTCTGTGGTTGGTTAGGACTGATGGACTGGTCTGGGATTGGTTATCCCGGTCAGCCAATCAGAGTTACTCAAAACTACAGCAAGTCAAGAAGTTTATTATCATGAAAACATAAATACAGAGAATTGACCGGGTTTAGATGTGAACATCCACTGTGAAAATAAGACTAAATACTCATGTGTTCATGATCCAAACCCTTCAGCTGAGACAGCACAAAGATACGCTAATAAGAGCGCCATCAGCGGCGGCGTGACGGTTCTCAAGATGAGTTCAAGGAAGAGTTAGTAAAAACAGCAGCTACGACTACATGTCAGAAAACACCACCATCAAACATGCAACCTCGATACGCACCAACAGTAAGACTTCCAAAACCAACGTTAGCATGCTAACAGCAACGAGCGAAGTTTATCAGAGCTAATCCAAGTAAACTATCTTAGCTAATTATCAAAGCTAACCATCGAAGCTAACGCCTACTTTTCAACATCCAGGATCAGTTCTTAGAGCAGGATCCTTTCATTTAGGAAGAACCAGACAAAGTGTGTTCATGAAATCAGTCTTTTCATCGACATCCACACTTTTATTAAACCTACAATAGATCAAACTTTAGCAGCTCTGTGTTGGTTTGGTCGAAAAGGTGATGGAGACGTTTTAAAGGTACAAACAGAAAAACAGGTTCATTATATTTAAACAGAGATTCAGGGAAAAGTTTGTTTAGGATGAAAAACAGAGTTAGAGAAGAGAAGAGAGAAACAGACAGAAACAGAGAGAGAGAGAGAGAGAGAGAGAGTCAGTCCTCCTGGTAACGATTATCTAACCCGGTCAGACTTCATCATCTCCTCACAAACCAAACCCTGTCCATCAATCATTCACCCTCAGACCTGATAACAAAACCTCCAAACACACTTTAAACTCTTTTTACATCATTTATTTTTATTACTTTAACAGCATCATCCTTCACCGAGACCATCCGACACCGACAAACCGAACCTCCTCCAGCGGGACCAGGAGCTAAACTAACCGGGTAAAAGTTCAGAGTCCACGGCCTGAACTCGGACACGGTCTCGGGAGGGACAATAAACGACCGAGTTCGGTTTAAAATGGACGTTAAACCGGTGGATGATGTCGAAAGAGAGAAAAGAGAGACTAAGGAGGTGGGGGAGGAAGGAGGTGGAGGAGGAGGTGGTGGATGCAACAGGCGTCACGTCGATGCTGCTGCTGCTGCGAGTCACCGGAGACCGAGAGAAAGTCTCCGAAAAACGACGAAAAAGTCTCCAAACACCCGGAGAAAGTGACTCAGAGCGGGCAGAGCGGCATGGACGGAGGCCCCGGGGCCGTCAGGGTGGACTTTATCCCCGAACCGGGCTCGGTTCGAGGCTAAATATGTCTGGGCAAGGTCACGACAGCAGCGTCCAGCTAGCTGCTGTTAGCAAGAATGCTACCGGAAACAGAGTGATTTTCCCTCCAAATTAAAACAGTGAAATTTGACTTATTCAGCGCTTTTAATGGACTTTAATCAACAGAAACAGACTTTATTACTTTACTGAGAAGGTATTCCTATGATTTTTAACCCTTTAATGCCTGAAACCACAAATTATGGCCAGAAAATTCACATTTTTGAGCTGACATGTTTATTGTACTTACTGCTGAAAACTACGTCCTTAAAGTTTAACAAATTTATTTATTGATCTCATTTGATACATTAGATAAAATTAGAAACTAATTAACTACAAGAGGACATTTGTATCATTTATCGGACTGTATTCACGTGTTATTTTAGTGATTTGTTGATCATATTGATTTGATTGAAGGATATAAAAGTAGGAATAAAATATGATACAAAAGGGTTAAACACGTGAAAAACAAGAAGCACCTCAGAATCCACCAATTCACCCCTCAGGCCAACGGATCTTGGTTATAAGTAGTCTGGAAATATGATAAACAATGAGAAACATTTCATGTAGTTCTCCTTATAAACCCATATGAGAAACAGATAGATGGAAAAATAGACAACAAAGATGATCAAATCAAGAGTGTGATTAAAACAATACAAAATAAAAGGAGGTTAGTGACTCAGAGTTAGACTATGATCAACAGGACGCTGATGTAAAACCTGCTAAAGTCTGTTAAAATAAGTAAAAACAGGTTTTTTAGAGTAAAGATGAAATTCAAGGATCGAAAGCATCACACACACACACCAACAAACAACAACAACAAACACTGTTTCACCACTTTTCTACCAAAACCCAGACTGAGCTTCACTTTAAGTACATCCTACTCTTTTCATGTTACCAATTTGTACCTTTAAGTAAAGTTTGAACCAGATTAACAGCAAATTCGAGAGAGCAACAGCCGGTATAATGCAGGACAACAACAGGTGAGAGGAGCCTGTTCATCAGACAACAATCAACAGGTGGTTTTACTTTGAAGGCCCTCACAGGAAGTGCTGCTCCTCAGCGGGGCCAGCTTCTCCCTGGTGTCTGATAGCTTTACACATGGCCACTAGCAGCGAGGCTCCGACCAAAGTGCACCCGAGATATGGATGCTCGACTCCGGCGGCGAGCAGACTTTGTACCCCCTCCTGCCACCCTCCCCGCGGGGCAAAACCGCCACATAACAGCCCCGACCGAGCCCCCCGGGACTAACCGTGCAGCTAAAGTCGATAAAAGCAGAAGTTAGTGATAATTAGCTGAAGCAGAGTGAATGAGGAAGAGACCTGGGCTTGAATTCCACCGCTTGGATGCGCATCAAACTAGGAAGCAACACGGAGAGGAGAGAAAAAAAGCTGCTCTCCCTCCCTCACCGTCTCCACATCTCAGCCTAAAGTTTCCCCGAACCGCTCCAACAAGTCCGAACTTTGGTGTAAACCCGTCCAACAGCACGAACATCGAGCAGAGAGCGCGCACACGGGCAGAAAAGCAGCAAAACAGAGCGATGGAGAGGCCAAAAACGCACACTTACGCTTGACTTTGTTGGGGTTGGGCTGCTTGCGCCGAGACATCGTGGCGAGGATGATGATGATGATGATGATGGTGGTGGTGGTGGGGGCGATGATGATGATGATGATGATGATGATGAACGGCGGGGATGGTGGATGAAAAAAAAGGGGGATGAAGAAAAAAAAAAGAAGGGAGAGAGAGGCTGCAAACTTGCTCCGGAGAGGAGAGGAATCAAAATGGCGTTTCCGAAGGGATGTGCAAACTTGGACAAACTTTACTCCGGCTTCTCCTCCTCCTCCTCCTCCTCCTCCCCTCCCTCCCCCACCGCCTCCTCCTCCTCTGCTTCTCTTCCTCTCTCTCTCCTCTCTCGGAGGAAAGAACAGATTAAGTCGCGGACTGAAGTCGTCGAGAGGAAAATAATAATGTCGATGAAGAGTTAGTGAAGTATTCGAGTTTTAATTCCTCTCCGGACTCCAAACTCTGCTGCTGCTGCTCCCCCCTCCTCCTCTCTCTCTCTCTCTCTCTCTCTCTCTCTCTAAACCTGATAAGTAAAGCTCATCACGTGTTGTCTCTCCAGTCTCCAAGGGGACGTGGCCACCAAGCATCTCTCTCTTTACGCACACTCACTCTGGTTACTGGATTACTCCACTGTCTGCAGCCTCGATGGAGGAAAAAGGAAATGATCCTTTAATTTTCTCTCAAACAAACTCAAACTCTCTCATCTCGACTTGTTACTCGGTCAAACTCATCCTCATAACTTTGTGACTCTCATGTTTTCAACAGTTTGACCGAGAAATGAAACTTTCCGCAGATCTGAGCCGAACTAAAAGAGGAAAACTCCTCTTTTAAGTTGTTTTATTTCAGCTCTCTCTCTCCCCCTCCTCTCATTCTCTCATTTCTCCTCAGTCTCGGTTAGCTCTGACTCTGACCCCCCCTGAAAGCGTTGGTTTTATCGGTGTCGGAGAGTTTCAGGGACTGAAAGATAAGGAACCATCCGCGCTGTTTGCTTCCCTGCTACACTCAGGAGGCAGCTCCACGAGCTATCGCGAGACTACTGAGGGGTAAACGCGGGGATGAGTGAGATATCGCGGGCTTTGGAATGAAGAGAGGATGCCAACCGTCAGCCTGGGGGTGGGGGTGGATGTGGGGGTGGGGGGGAGAAACAGCTTCTGTTTGTAAGAAGGTGAATTCAGAAATAAGTTTGTTAAAAAGGTTTTAAAGTGAATCAAAGTTTAAAAGCTTTTAATGTGTTTCTGTAAATAAACACTTTCATGTCAGAAACTGTCAACATGTTAAAGTTTAAATACTTTAAGTTTCAGTTTCTCTTCAGTTTATTTCATTAAAGCATCAGCAGATTTCTGAGTCACCGTCTCTCAGGGTTAAATATGTCTTTAAATGTTGGTTTGATATAATAACTCATGAGAGACACTGAATATTTCAAAGTTAAGTCCGTCTCCCTCTTCTTTACATTAAATTGTTTTAAAAAGTAGTGAGGTATAAAATTCTAAATGACATCTTAAAACCGATTAAACGGCGTAGAGCTGATTTCAGATTCTAATTCAGGGTGAATCTAGAAACGTCTATATTCAGGTGATGAAAAAACATCATCAGAGTTAAAGTTATTTCATCTTAATCTGATTTAAAATATAAAAACACAAACTATTCTATCTGTTTTTAACTCTTTTTATTTGATCTTTTAGAAAAGCTTTGATGTCATTCCTTTACTTTGATCTTTTATTGATTAATCTCATTGATCTCTTTAATCTCATTCTGTTTTTTAAACCTATTTTGTTGTTTTGTTTTCTTTTATTAACTTTGATCTCATTATTTTCTTTTATCTCTAAAATGTCTTTAAAATAATTCTGTTTCTTTTGTCTCTTTTTTAAGATCTCATCTCGTGTTTTTATTTTTTTACAGTTTACTTCTTGATTAATTTGATTTTTTGTTTGATCTCTTTTCAGTCATTAAATGTTTTGATCCGTTTCTCTTCATCGTTAAGTGATGCTTTGATCTCTTTTGTTTTTATCTCTTTACTTATTTGATCTTTCTTCATCTCGTTTGTAAAAGCTTTTATCTCTTTTTAATGTCTTTTATGTCGCTACATTGTTTTTATTTTTTAATGCTGTTTCTGATCGTATCTCTTTGGCCTCTTTTCTTTAATCTCGTTAAACTCTCGTTTGCTTCGCCCTTCTTCTCTTTCTTTTATCTTGTTTTAAGAACTTTTATTGTTTAAGTAGCTCTTTTATTCTTTTATCTTTTTGATCTCAGTGAAAAAGTCAAAGTAAAGACATTTAATATTCTGACTTTTAAATTTAGTTTTTTAACTTTTAAAGTTTTATTTTTTTTAACTGAAGAACAAAGTAAAGTCATTTCTCACACGTCCGTACGTCGCAGTTAAGTTCATGAAAAACACGTTTTTATAAAATCTGATGATCTTTCTGTCGTTTATTATCCAGAGTCGTCTAGTTTAAACTCTAGTTTAAGTTTTTTTTATCCTTCTGTTTGTGTCAAAGTGAAGCTCAGAGAGTTTTTAATCACAGAAATATAATCCTGTTAGAGATCCACAACCTTAACTTCAACTTAAACTTTAACTTCAAACTTTAACTTTAACTTTAATTTTAACGTCAACTTAAACTTTAACTTTAATTTTAACTTCAACTTTAACTTCAAACTTTAACTTTAACTTTAATTTTAACTTCAAACTTTAACTTTAACTTAAACTTTAACTTTAACTTTAACTTAAACTTTAACTTTAACTTCAAACTTTAAATTTAACTTTAACTTCAAACTTTAACTTCAACTTCAAACTTTAACTTTAATTTTAACTTTAATTTAAACTTTAACTTTAACTTCAAACTTTAATTTCAACTTCAAACTTTAATTTTAACTTCAAACTTTAACTTTTACTTTAACTTTAACGTTAACTTGAATCTGAATTTAACTTTAATTTGAACTTTAACTTCAACTTCAAACTTTAATTTTAACTTTAATTTTAACTTCAAACTTTAACTTCAAACTTTAACTTCAACTTTAACTTTAACTTCAAACTTTAACTCTAACTTTAACTCTAATCCAGCTGAAGTGAGACTGGGACAGGAAGACACTTGTTGATCTGCAGCTTCTGCTCATGTGCAGGAGCGATGAGGATGAGGATGATAAATGAAACACAGGAAGTCCTCCTCTTTCTCCTCCCCCTCTTTTTCCTGCAGCAGGAGCAGCTCTGCCTCCTCTTCTCCTCTCTCCTCCTCTCCCTTCTCCTCCTCTCCAGAGCTAAACTAAATTTAACCTCCTTTAACCTTCATTGTTAAATTTAGTGTAAGAGAGAGAGAGAGTTGCTGAACTCCTCGCTCGCTCACTCGCTCGCCCGCCCGCTGCATGTGGAGCTCCTCTCCCACATTCCTCACAGCCCTCCTCCATCTCCAGATACAGACCCCTCCTCCTCCTCCCATCATCCCCTGCTGGAGCGAGGAGCACACAGGCATCTCTCCTCCCATCACACCCCTCCTCCTCCCTCCCTCTCTCTCTCTCCCCCCTCCTCCCCCTGCGGGCGGCTGCAGCAGAGCAGGAAGAGCCTCCCTGTCTGTCCCGGGCTGGTCGGGCCTGTTGCTGATGAAGGCGAGGAGGAGGAGGAGGAGGAGGGGCTGATGGGAGGACTGGGTGTTACCAGCTCTTTGGTTAGCGGCTAAATGACTTCAAACAGAGCGGCGCTGCGTTTGCTCCAGGAGGCTCTTCACCCCCGACAGACAGACAGACAGACAGACAGACAGACAGACAGCATGTGCTCAGGAGCAGGAAACACCTTCTTTTCCATCTGTGGAGGAACAGAGTTCTTCACAGGAGAGCGAGACGCTGCAGGAAAACACAGAAGAGAGAGTCAGAGTGAGATCCTGACTGAGCAGGTAAAAGACATCCTGTTTGTGAGGAGAGAGACGAGGTTAGCCGAGCAAGAACACCAACCAGACTGTGTTTATAAAAAACACTTTAATATTTGACCAAGAAAGAAAACCCTGAACTACCCTGACCCCTCACCCCCCATCTGAACAGAAACAGGATTAAAACACAAAAACTTAAAAAGGGTTTTAATGTGAGGAGGAAACACTGGAGCTTTAAAATCTGAAAACAAAGAAACAATAAAAACAGTCAAAGAAACTCAAAGACGAGACGATCCTGTCATTAAAACTGTACAGAGATAAATGTTCAAACACTAATGAGGTCAAATTTAAAGTCAAACTAAAAGTGTTTGTTTTCAGTTTTATATCCAAACTGACACCATGAAGCTCACCGACAGAGAGCTGTGCTCTGATTGGACGGTTTAACTCATGTTACGTGTTTAATCAGGTGAGAAACGAAAACGTCACTTTAGATAAATAATTAAAGTCCAAACGGGTCGTTTTTTCAGACGTTAGTGATCGGAAATATCCGGGTCATAGATCCGATAAAAAGCTCGTTATTCGTCCGTCATTGTCGGGTTTTACCTGAATACCTGACACTCAGGTGTGACAGTGGGCGGAGTCAGGACTCCGCTGTGACACAGGAGGGTCAGACTGACCCCTGTGGGTCTACAGGGGGGTCAGGGCCTCGGCTAAAACCACCATCACACCAAGTCCAGGTGTAGAGGGGGCGGAGCTTATAATGACCTTTACACACAGAGCTACAGTCAGGGCCGATCAGGTGACCGAACAGACCCACAGAAACATGTCAGTGTCCTCAGAGGAAGAACCACAGAGTCCATCTTCACCTGTGGACCTGCGCTGTGATTGGTCAGAGTCAGACCACCTGACGAGGAGACGAGAGCCTGAACAGACGTGTGTGTGTGTGTGTGTGTGTGTGTGTGTGTGTGTGTGTGTGTGTGTGTGTGTGTGTGTGTGTGTGTGTGTGTGTGAATGGATTAATCTGAATTGAAAAGTGGCCTGTTGAAGTGAAAAGCAGTGATTGGATTAGTGATGTAATGCTGTTAGCTGCTTTTCTCTCTCTCTACACACACACACACACACTAACATGACCCCCTGTTAAAGTGCTGACTCCCATGATCCTTTGCTGTTGTGTCAGAGTCAGGTAAGCCTCCATGGTTCACCTGAGGTGGTCTCTGAGGTCTCTGACCCTCCATCACAGGTTGGTGTTAGTGATGGAGGTTAAAGCAGGTTTGGTCAGTACGGTCAGTCAGAGCGGGTCTGGAGTTTACCTGCTCTCTTTATTTAACTCAGTGGTTCTGAATAACGATCACAGAGTCGTGATTTGAAGTGAATTCAGATGAAGATCAGAAATATTTCAGTCATTTTGACTCCAAATCTGACAGATTCTGGTTCTTTCTGTTATTGTTCTGAGGACCCCGAGTCTGAACCAGAGAAGACTCACAAAACAAACTCACTTTATATTTATATGTTTATATTTAAAGGACTCGTTTGTGGCTGAAAGTCTAATTTCAGTGACCTTGTTGTGTTTTTATCCCTCATGGCACTTTTCTCCCTTTGGACATTAAAAATCTAAGAAAACGACTTTAATTTCTCACGTTTTGTCCTATTTTATATATTTTGATGTCATTTACTTTTTCTTGGGTTTATTATTTCAGGTGAAAATCAGCTGATGGTGTTTGAGGGTCAAAGGTGAAGGTGCAGGACTTCACCAACTCCAGACAGATCTTTAGTCCTGTTTGGTAAAAAACTCCAGAGTTAGAGTTAGTCCGCCTTTTTTCCTCAATTAGAACAAACAGGATCCAAACAGGATGAAAACAGGATCAGAACAGGATCCAAACAGGATCAGGGTCATTTCTAACTCTCCGTTTCCTCATGTTGCTCTTTTTCCATCTGCAGCTTCTTTGTCTCTTCTGCTCAAACAGACGATCGTGTTTGTTTGTTTGTTTGTCTGTTTGTTTGTTTGTTTGTTTGTTTGTTTGTTTGTTTGTTTGTTTTAAAGAGAAAATAAAATTCAGTTTTTCTGTTTCTGAAGAAAAATCAGAGAAAATAAAAACTGTGAGGAAAAGTTTCCTTCAAGCATCCCGTCCTGAAACCAGAGAGAGTGTGATGTTATTTATTGGACTGTAACCATGGAGCAGTTGCTGGGGAACGAACCATCGGTAACAAAAGGGTGGATTCATCCATTCATCCAGCCGAGAGGAGGAGGAGGAGGAGCAGCAGGAGGAGGAGGAGGAGAAGAGGTATCCCCAAACTGAGCCGCAGAGAGCAGATCTGAGCCAGAGGGTTTCCCAACGCTGAGCGAGTTGACACAGTTGTTGTTGATGAAACTTTACACACTCCTCCTCCTCCTCCTCCTCCTCCTCCTCCTCCTCTGTCTCCATTGGAGCGCTGTCCGGACAGGCAGGCAGTCACATGAAGCCAACACCTGTCGGCAGTGTGGGGGGATGACGAGCACATGCTGCTCCTCCGTCTCTCTGTTTCCCAACCAGCTTCAACAAACACACTCCTCTCCTCCTCTCCTCCTCTCCTCTCTCCTCCTCTCCTTCTCTCCTTCTCTCTCCTCTGCAGCCGTGTTTTCTCTCAAATGTTGAAACTCTTCTTCTCTCCAGAGCTGCAGCAGCAGAGAGGATGGTGGAGAGAGAGAGAGAGAGAGAGAGAGAGAGAGAGAGAGAGAGGCAGAGGGGGAGGGGGTGAAAAACCGGTTTCCAATAGTGACGGATGATTTGTAGGTAACAGTTGTTTGCCTTGCAGCCTGAGGCCTGCCCCGCTCACACACACACATGCACACACACACACACACATGCACACACACACACACACACTCACTCACCCTTAGAGTAAGAAGAGGCTGAAAAAACAGCTGAAACTTCAAACTACAAATTCAGTCGGTTTGTTCTCCAACTCTCTGACTCTCTGACTCTCCGACTCTGACTCTCTGACTCTCCAACTCTTTTTGACTCCGACTCTCCGACTCTCCGACTCTCTGACTCTCCGACTCTCCGACTCTCTGACTCTGACTCTGACTCTCTGACTCTCTGACTCTCTGACTCTCCGACTCTCTGACTCCGACTCTCTGACTCTCTGACTCTGACTCTCTGACTCTCTGACTCTGACTCTCTGACTCTTTTTGACTCCGACTCTCTGACTCTCTGACTCTCCGACTCTCTGACTCTCTGACTCTGACTCTCTGACTCTGACTCTCTGACTCTCTGACTCTCCGACTCTCTGACTCTCTGACTCTCTGACTCTCCGACTCTCTGACTCCGACTCTCTGACTCTCTGACTCTGACTCTCTGACTCTCTGACGCTCTGACTCTCTGACTCTGACTCTCTGACTCTCTGACTCTCTGACTCTCTGACTCTCTGACTCTCTGACTCTCTGACTCTCTGACTCTGACTCTCTGACTCTGACTCTCTGACTCTCTGACTCTTAAAAAGATAAAAGATGAAATATAAAGACAGCATCACATAAAAGACAGACTTATCTGTTTTAACCATAGACTGTATCTAGAACAGAAGCCGTCTGCCTCCTCGCTCTGAGAACAGCGCCCTCTGGTGACGGGCTGCAGTATAGTTCATAAACCCCGCCTCCTTATGGAGCTGTGGACAAACTTTATAAATGAATGACACAGAATATAAATGTTTCTCCCCCCTGGTTGTGATGTTGACATGTAGTTACTGTCAGACTGGTTTGTGCTCAAGTCCTCTTTTTTCTGTACAGCTCCATTTTTAAAAGTTATTAGGGGGTTCATGTTTTCTATGATTGACACCTGATACAGCCTATGGGAGGACAGAGATTGAGGAGATCACCGGGGGATACGCTGTTTGAGCCGAGCGTCATCACAGCGACTCTCCTGCTGAATAAGAACAACGTTACTGAACAAAGTTGGTTTCAGGAAGTGGAGAAAAAATGCAGAATTACCGAGAACTTTTCGACTTCAGATCATTAAACTGGAGGAACCGAGGAGTCCAGAGTAAAAACAGGATATGTTTTCAGTCCACAAGAGGCCTAAAGTGAGGATTGACTCTCTTTAGGCCTCTTGTGGACACTCCAGGAACTGCAGGTAGTAGCTCTTCTGTATTGGCGTTAATTTTCAGAGCCGAGGTTCTTCTGAAGTCCAGGAAACAAAAAAAAAAACATGTTTTAACATCTGAGAAAGAAAACGAAGAGAATAAAGTCTCTTCAGATTATTGACCTGTGTGTGTGTGTGTGTGTGTGTGTGTGTGTGTGTGTGTGTCATACTGATGTGGTATCTGGACAGACCAGTTTTGTGATGCTGATACATCAGATACAGTAACCATGACGACCGACGACTCACCTGCAGGAGGTGTGGGGGTTGGGCGTGTTGACACACACACACACACACACACACACACACACACACACACACACACACTTTTAAAGAGTGTGTCACTGGAGGGGTCTCGTTTGCATTTGGTAAATAAATACTTTGTAAAAAAAACATTTCCCATGATGCACTGGGGTAAAAGTAAAAAGGACAAAAACATGTATTTGAAATATAAACGAGTGTTTTTAATAAATTAACTTCTTGCAGATTTACCCTGTTTAAAAATATCTTTAATAAAAACAAACTAAATTAAATCTAATAATCAGAGTCAAAGTTTCACGTCTCGGTTACTTTTGTCTCATATTTCCTTTTTTAGAAATAAAACAGACGTCTGTGTTTTTTTTTTCCAGAGAAACTGAAGTTTAAACTTTTAAAACAACAACAGATCTGAGTTTAGCTGAACTGAACAAAGAAAAGTTTATACTACAAATATGTTATAAATCTTTATCATTTAGTTATAAAAAAGGTGATTTAATCAAAAACATTAATGTCCTTTAGTGTCTCATTAATGTTACTGCGACTTTATTCAGGACTTAACATCCAACCTCCAAATATAAAGTTACAGTCAAACTTTTAGGTTATAATAAAATAAAAATACTGAGTTAAAGTTTCATTTATTATTCAGCTCATATAAAATAATGACATGTTTTAAATTCAGCTGAGAACTGAAAACAGTCCAGAGCTGAAATATGAACTAATGTGTCACTAATGATGTTTTCTGAGTATTCAGTAAATGTTCTTTAACTAAAGACAGTCAGTGTTTAAATAGATGTCCTTATACGTGAAAAATGAGACTGATGGGGTTTCATGTGGTCTCTCTATCAGCTGTCATGATAGTTTTAAATTAAAATCTAAGACTGAAATCAGAACCAAATATAATCCAACTCAGTCCACTCACCTTCATCAGATTACACCAATAAAACAGATATTTGGCTTTTAAACAGATCAGAATCTAGTTACACTTGTCTATACTAAATCTTTACTAAACTCTCACTGATAAAATTTAATGAAGTTTAAAAGAATCTCAGTCATCATAGATCTGGAGCTAATAGAGTCAGGGGTCTGTCTGTCTGTCTGATAATTCAATCAAACAGGCTGCAGTTCTGGACAACAGCCTGCTGCCTCCCTCTAGAGGTGGAACAGAAAACTGCAGCAGCTCCACTGATGAGAATAAAGGGTTTGAAAATACAAAAACACAAATACAGAGACGTGTTATTCAGGGATTAGATGGTCTTAATAGAGGGGGAAATATGAGTTAATTTTTAATCTATAATAAACGTGGAGTTTGAAAAGTTTCTGTTTTTTTCAGAAAGAAGAAAATTAATGAGTTTGATTCAGACCTTCGTGCTTTTACTTTGAAAGGATTAAAGTTGTTTGTTTAAATGAAAAACTCACATTTAAAATCTATATTTAACATCTATGTGTGAATAAGAGTCTGAGACGCCCTCGTTGGTTTTTGTCGTTTGCTTTATTATGAGCAGAAAGTTTCAGAAAAAGATCAAATCTGTTTGTTTTCATGAAAATCTTCATTAAACAGGTTTTTTCATCCAGACTGAGAGGGTCTACAGAGTCTGACAGGAACCACGTTAGACCTCAGGGACTGAGAGACCAAAATCTAAAGATAAATATAATTAATCATTATCATTTCTGATTTATTTTCACCTGTGAATGCTGCTTAATTTAACTGTTTATGATCTGATTGACTAAAAAAACTCCCTAAAATATTAAAGTTCTCCGTTTGTTTACGATGATCAGAGTTTGGGATGTTAATGACGGCCTTAAATTACAGCAGAAATCTACACTTGGGTGAATTTAACTGAAGCTGTCGGACGTTTTACTTTCATCACCATCAGGTGAGTTTTTATTTTCATTTGTTCAGACTTTTATTTTATCTCAGTGTCAGTCTTTGAGTTTAGGGTTTCAATAAGATTCAATAACATTAAAAAAATAATAATAAAAAGTGGGACATAGAAATATATAGATCTAGATCTGAGCTGAAGTTTTCTATGGTTCTCAGGGAAATTCTCATCTGGACAGAAAAACGTCAAACTCCGATTTTCAGATTTTGTTTGTTTGATTTTGAAGAAGAAAAAAAAATCATCAAGAAAAATAATCAGTTACTTCGTTGGCCCCGCCCACTCTCTTAGAAGCTTCTGTGATTGGTGAAGGTGGAGAAGAAATTGTGAGGGGCGTGGTCACAGCTGTGCAGACCAATGGAATCAGGGCTTGATTTCAACGTCCACCTCTCCCCACACCTGAAAACCCAAAGACAACGTCAGCGTTGAAGAACATCTACAGGAGATCGATGACGAGGACGCCATCGTGTTGGCGGTATGAAGTTTAGAGAGGTTACCTGGCGAAGGTTATCACAGACCATCACCGCCACCAGGCGACGTGGGCCGTCCAGCCGAGGGATGAAGGACTCCTTCCAGGAGATGGAGGCTCTGGGTTCGATGACGCTGAAACACAGAGAGAGAGCGGGATATTGTGGGCGGGGCTTGACTTCATGGCCTGCCTGAACTAACTCTGGACTAACTGCAGGTGAACATCTATCCCAGGTAAGCACACCTGTAGTGACGAGTCCTGTAGCTCACGAGTCCGGGTCCCTCCATGGCCAGGTAGGCGTTCAGCAGGGCGAAGTTGTAGGGGTTGGTGAAGGAGATGGTCACGAACATCTCCTGCTGCACCTGAGGCTGTCCGCTCACCTGAGGGCGAAGGATCTTCAGTTAACACCTGCTACCTGCCTGTTCCTGTCATCGGTGTGTGTCATCAGGGGCGTGTCTGTTTACCGTCATGCCGAGGGTCGTGGTCAGCAGCTCGATCACCTTGATGGCGGTCAGCGATTGCTCGTCAGCCTGTGCGGTCACCACGAAGTTCAGACAGAGCTGAGAGCCCAGGTGAGGCAGGTACTCCTCCGCCGTGACCTTCAGGGCCACACGCTCGGCTGTGGAACAAAAACAGAGAAGAAGAAACAAACAAACGCTGAAGAACGCCGTCTCTGACACAAACGTGACCTTTCACCCTCAGCGGGTTCTTACTCTGGCGGGCGGGCACCACCACGGTGAAGTCGTGGTCTTTGAAGTGATTGGCGGTGACTCCGGTGTAGAAGACGACCGACCCGGCCAGGTGAGCCTTGATGGTTCTGGGTTCATCGCTCTGGTTGTGGAACTCCACGGTCAGGTTCACGTCCTGAGAGAGCTGGACCTGCAGACCCGGGACACAGCGAAGACCGGGGTTCAACCTGGTCCTGAAGGTGGAGGTCTGTGTGTGTGCAGGCGTGTGCGTGTGTGTGCAGGTGTGAGTGTGTGCAGGTGTGAGTGTGTGCAGGTGTGTGTGTGTGTGTGTGCAGGTGTGTGTGTGTGTGTGTGCAGGTGTGTGTGTGCGTGTGTGCAGGTGTGTGTGTGTGCAGGTGTGTGTGTGTGCGTGTGTGTGTATGTGTGTTTGTGTGTGTGTGTGTGTGTGTGTGCAGGTGTGCAGGTGTGTGTGTGTGTGTGCGTGTGCGCAGGTGTGTGTGTGTGTGTGTGTGTGTGTGTGTGTGTGTGTGTGTGTGTGTGTGTGTGTGTGTGTGTTACCGGCTCTGAACTGATGGAGACCGTCAGCTGAGGATCGTCCAGCTCAGAGTGATCCCTCTCACAGCCGTACTCCTCAGCCCGGGTCATGGTCCTGGCGTCCTCGGCGCTCCCTGACCACACAGACCAGATCAGCTGTCAGAGACCGTTTCGGCCTCATGTGAAGGTTTGGGTTTGTTGCCATGGTTACCTTCAGGGTACTTGTAGGTGTAGGTGATGTCGTTCGGTGCGTAGCTGCCCACTGCTTTGGTGTAGACGGCCTGTCCGATGTGAGTCTTGTCCACCCTGTACGGACTCAGAGTCCCGTAACGGTCCCGCTTGTGGAAAACCACGTCACTGTTCACCTGGAGGCGGAGTCAGAACCAGGATTTGGACTTTTAAATTCTACCTTAAGAATAAGAAAACACGACCTGGAGAATATCACGGCTAAAAAGTAATATTCGTGATGATACTAGCAAAACTACCACTACTACTATGACTACTACTACGACTACCACTACTGCTTATACTTCTACAACAAGTATTTCTACGACAGACCGCAGTTTTATTTCTGCTTTTAAAAACTTCTGATGGTGTAAACGACGGTTAGAAACGAACCTCGGCGAAGACGAAGCCGGAGTCAAACGGGTGGCAGAGCAGACCCTCCTTAATGGCGGTGACGGAGGACGGTCCACAGCGGTAATGTCCTAAACACAAACGCAGAGACGTGTTCATCGTCAGCAGAGTAACCGATCCACCTACCCGTCTCATGTCCTCATCTGCCTGTCCTACCATCACTGGTCTCCTGCGGTGTGGCGTCCACCACCTGCCAGCCGCTGAGGCCGGGCGGGAGGTCATGGCGGGTGATGAAGACCTCGTTCCAGCAGTGGTAGTTCCTGTACAGAAAATAGCGTTACACGGGTTCGCTGAGCTCAGCGTGTCTGAGGAAACCGTAAGGTCCTTAGTTCTATGTTTGGACGCACCAGATGGAGTCCCTGGTGTGGCGCCGGTCTGGCGTGCCATCGGTCTTGAAGATCAGGTCGGTCTTCAGGTTGCCGGTGTTGTCATGAGCTGAGCTGAAGTTGGTGATGACTCTGGATGGGACACCGAGGCAACGCAGGACTACAGAGGACATGGATTTGAGAGTTTAACAGAGTAAATTCAGAGTATAAATGACAGCACTGACCCCGATACAGGACCATCAGGACCATCAGGACAACGAGACGACCCCCCTCTATTCTGGACTATGTGAAAGGGTTTTATCATACATCATATAAAACCAGGAAAACAGACGTTTTAACCCCCAATTTTCAACCCCATCCAGAACAGTTCCAATCCCGAATGGCAGCAATTTTCGCTGATCCATTGGTGAGGCGAATTTCATGGCGGATTACTGACAGCGGTAATAAGAAGAACCCGCAGATTCACGTTCAATCTTACGATAACGAGTTGTCTCTCTAAAGACAGACACATAGACATATAAGCAGTAGATTGTGTCCTTCCAGAGGAGGAAATCTACTCCTAGACTTCTAGAATCAGCATCTCCTCATCCATGGTGTCATCGGGGTGAAATGACGTCTAAAAACCTTTCACTTGTTCGTCTCCATTAATGTTTACGATCAGCTACGATCAGAGGATACGACCTTTTAGGAGACGATCAGGATGAAGGTGGAGATCGGCGGTTAACATTTTTGCATGATCTCATGGTTTTAATCGTCCCTGAGAAGTTCTTACAGGTGTTGAAGACCCCGGCGAAGACCCAGCACTGGGCAAAGCAGACTGGGACCCCGGTGTTGGCGTACTGCAGCAGGATCTGGACACTGCCGGTCCAGGCTGTTGGAGGCCGGCCCATGGAGTAATCGTCACTCCAGTTACCGACCAACACGCCGTTATCGTCCTGAGAGTTCAGCTGAGGAAAGAGGGGTCAAAGGTCAGTCACTGACACCTTCGTCCTGTTGAAGCAGGTTCATCAGCGCCTCACCATGGCGGATCCTTTCCTGACCAGCTGGATGACGTTGCCTCGGTTGTAGATCGGCATCCTCGATGAGTCCAGGATGTAAATACAGGCGTCCAAAATGCCCCGCTCAAACTGCAGGGAGATGACGGGGTCAGCCAATCATGGTGCTAGTCCAGGCAGGCGCAGGATTTCACCTGTTTGATATTTACGTACCTGACCGTACATCCAGCTGCGGTGCGACACAGCTCCAACCGCACCCTGGAAGATCACACCTGCGTCGTTCAGGATGTACTCCCGCCGCTCTGACTCATCAGGGACAAACACGGCGTCCTCTGCAGAGAAGGAAACGGTCGTTCAGTCAGTCGGACAAACAGGAAGTTTTCTGAGATGAAGTCAGTGGACTTGAACTCAACATGGCGGCTCACCTGGGCACCAGGCGTTGTACAGCAGGTACAGGTCAGTCCTGGCGTCCCTCCTGGTCCTCAGCAGGCCGTTGCTGGTCACCACAGCGACATAGGTACGGAACTTCCCCACGACGGCGTTCGGGGTCGGCGTGATTCCCACAATCACCGACTGTCCCTGCAGCTCCAGGATCCGCCCCGCCCACAGACCGGCATGACGGGAACCAAAGGTCACCGCCACCAGGGTCCCCTTACTGGGGGAGGGGTTTGAGCCTGTCGAGGAGGAAGAGGAGGGTTAGTGATGAGCCAAGAGGGGAGGAAACAAGGAGGCAAGGAATTCAGAGGGAACAAGGGGGCGAGAGGAGGAAGCAAAGGATGGAGAAAAGGAGAGGAGACAAGAGAAGAGGAAAGGAGTGGAGGACACAAGGAGAGGATAACAGCAGATAATATCCCCTAATAATGTCGCAAGAAGAAGTGATCAGAGGAGATGAGGAAAGAGGAAACAAGGAAACAAGGAGTATAATCAGGAGGATAAGAACATAATGAGAAAGGATATAAAGGGTGAAGGAAACAAGGAGATAATGAGAGGAAAGGGGAGAGGAGACAAACACATCTGATAATGACGATATGGAATCAGAAAAAGGAGGGATCAAGTGGACAAGGAAAGGAAAGAAGGAGAGAGGAAAGTCTTTTAAGATAAAGATTTTAAAGATAAAAAGTGTCAGAAAACATCTGTCAGTGTGTGTGCGTGTGTGTGTGCCTGTGTGTGTGTGTGTGTGTGATTATCCAGCTGAATGAATGTGAAGCTGCTGCCTAATGAACTGTCAGTCCTCTAATTGTGTCAGACGACTCTTAACGAACATCTTTCCTAATTGGTTAACGAGGGAGCTCTAACTGCTGGTCTCAGATGGGCCGAGTCGTAACTACTGAGCGCGCTCTGTAACAGACCCCCCCCCCCACCAGACATCCTCTCTGTGGACCAATGAGACGGTCGGAAATTCGCTGAGAAATTTATTATTTGACATCAGATAAAAAAAACTAAAGGAGTTTTCAGCAAAATTAAAAAAGTCAGACAAACTCGGATCCCAGTTTCTGAATCTTCTGGATTTCATAAAAGATACTGAATGAAAACTGAAGATGATTTTACGGGGACTCAGACTGGGACTAGGACTCGGACTGGGACACGGACTGGGACTGGGACTCACCGATGAGGAACTCCACCTGGAAGTCGTCTCCTTGTCCCAGCGGCCGGTTGAAGGTGATCCTCATGAGGAACTCCTGACCGCGGCGGATCACCAGGTTGGGGTTGTCGTAGGCGGTGGTGTAGTGGTTGGGTTTGTTGATCTCCTGACACATGTCCACGCCCATCACCGCCAGAGAGCCTGAAGGAGCGATAAAGGGACAGTCCGCCGTTTATTTTTCAGGTTATATTTATGAACCTCATGAATCTGATGGATCTTACCCGCCATCGGAGCATAACTCCTAGGCTCCGCCCCCTCCTCCTCAAAGGGCTCAAACTCGGGGAAATCCTCCCCATCGTTGACCAGGTTAGAGGTCGGCACCTGAGGACCACGAGGACAGAGACATGAGTCCTTCAAGTCCTGAAAACACAAAGGTTTTTATTTGAACCCTGTTCCAGTACCGGCTCAGTGTAGCGCCCCCTGTGGCTGTTTGATTCACGGGCCGGATCAGACATGATGGCGGTTTCCACTGAAGTCACTGAGCGACGACAGAGAGGGAAAAATATTGGTTTATGGAGAGAGAGTGAAAAGATCAATAACACCGATAGATGAAATAAAAAATAAAATAAAATCAATGAAAATAAAAACATGAAGATCATTTAAGTCTCAGTGAGTGAGCGAAAAAAACGAAAACAGAGAAACATAAAAAAACAATAAAATAGTCATATAATAAAGAAACGAGTGAGTGAGCAGAAAAACGACGATTAAAGGACAATTACAACAAAATATCAATAAAATAAAGAGTCAAATATGAAAGATACTCGGAATAAACGTCAGTGCATCAACTAAAGTGTGTGTGTGTGTGTGTGTGTGTGTGTGTGTGTGTGTGTGTGTGTGTGTGTGTGTGTGTGTGTGTGAGAGTGTGTGTGTGTGTCTCACCGCTCAGCTGAAGAAGTGTGTGTCTGTTTGTCGAGTCTCTGACGATCAGATCAGAAGATAATCGACCGACTCAGACACACTGGCTTATATACACACACCACTTCCTCTATTTACTGACACACACACACACACACACAGACACACACACACACACACACACCAGAGCACCTTACATTTTAGGTTTCACTGTTTTTCACACAAAAACACGACAAAGTTGTTGATTTTGTGATTTTTTTTTCTTTCACAAATGAAAATTTAATAAATTTGAAATCAATCAATCAATCAATCAATCAGTCTTTATTCATAAATCACTTTTCATACTCGACCATGAAGCACAAAGTGTTTTAAACAGAAAAAGGAATAAAAAGAAAAACAAAGAAAACTCAAATCGAACCCGACCGACCCCTAAACGATCGAAACAGAAACAGAGTTAAAAAGTTAAAAAGGACTTAAAAGTGAGGAAACATCATTTTAAAACTCAAGATAAAAAAACACTGGAGGTTTAAAATCTAAAAACAAAGACACATAAAATGAAATTTAACAATAAAATAAAAACAAAGAAACTAAAATCAGAGACGATCCTGTCATTAAAACTAGACAGAGATAAATGTTAAAACACTAAATGAGATAAAATTGAGTTAAAAGTCAAACTAAAAAGGTTTTCAGTTTATTTTTGATGAACTAAAGTTTATTTGAACATCATGAATAAATAAAAAGAGTTCACAGATAATAATTGATGACGTTTATCAGAAATATCTTTGGTCTCTCCTGGATCTAAAAATAAAACTTTAACAGATTTGATTTGTCGTGATCTCAGTTTATGTTGTTGGTTCTTTTATCGTCTGAGTTTCTGATGACGAATGAAATTATCCTTCAATTCAGAGTTTTTAACTGAACTTTAGTTTTTATCTGTTTTTATTTTCAAGTGCTTTATGACTGTTTGTCACAGAACTTTAAAAATGATATAAAAATAAAGTTATCATTATTTTTTTTTAATTTATTTATTTAATTATTATTTTTATTATTATTATTATTATTATTATTAATAATAATAATAATAATAATAATAATAATAATAAACCCTGAAATCTTCCTGTGTGTGTGTGTGTGTGTGTGTTTGTTAAAGATGCTGACTCAGTCCGTGTTTCTTCCTCTGACCTTGACCTCCAGGCTCTGAGGTCATCATGACCCGCTGCTGCTGATTGGTCAGATGTCAGCGCTGAGTCACTTCCTTCTTCTTGACTGAGGTCAGCAGAAACTGAACAGCAGAGACAAAGAGTCAAAGTTTCGAGTTCTGGTCCTGACGGTTCTTTCTGACCCGCTCAGATCCACTTTAATGATCTGGGATCCTGTTAGTCCAGGTCCTGGACTCTGAGAAACGGTTCTCCTGGAGAGTTTGTGAAAATAAAGAACAAATTCATCATCTGAGAGGAGGTCCGAACAGAACTCTGCTGCAGAACCCGACCCTGACTGAACCCACCCCATCTGGACCTGTTTCTAAAACCTGGACTAGTCTCTGAGCAGTTCTGGGTCAGTCCAGGGTCTAAGACTCGGACCACCGTCTGCTGCAGGTCTCTGAAAAACCGTCTCTTTGAGCGTCTCTACAGGAACTCTGAGAACCCGGGTCGGTCTGCAGGATCTACACAGACCGACCCGGGTCCTCAGAGCAGTTCTGAGTCTGTAAAGGGACAAAAAACGTCTCTGGACCAGACTGCAGGGTTCTCTGTAAACCTCCACAGACGGCTCAAAGCTGATCCGCATCAAAACCTCAGACTCGGGTCCAACTAAAGACCCGCCTCTTTGTCTTCTCCGACACCAATCATGTCCTTCGTCCTCCGCTAAGACGTCTCATCAGTCTTCGAGGACGGGGACCCTTAGAGGATCGGTTTTTGATGGTGGTTTTTCTGGGCGGGGGGCCAGTTTACTCCAAACCCGAGTCCTCAGGTTTCAGGACGAGTCCCCGTCTGTCACAACGGCGGGATTTAATCCGTCTGAGTCATCAGGACTGACGGGGGACGATTCTGGACCGTCAGCAGATCAGAGGACGGGGGCCGAGACGGGGGGAGAGAAAAACAGCAGAGACACGTCAAAAACTGAAATTAAAGAGTCCAGAGAGTCCAGAGGACGAGAAGACAGAGAGACGAGGAGGTGAAGACGACAAAGAGAGAGGACGGAGGAGACAGAGAGACGAGGAGGTGAAGACAGAGAGAGAGGACGGAGGAGACAGAAAGACGAGGAGGTGAAGACGACAGAGAGAGAGGATGGAGGAGACAGGACAGAGACACGAGTTAAAGAGACAAAAACACGTGAACGAGAGGACAGGAGACAAAACTTTAGAGACCCTGAGAGAGAGAGGACAGAGACACGTCAAAAACTGAAATTAAAGAGTCCAGAGAGTCCAAAGGACGAGAAGACAGAGAGACGAGGAGGTGAAGACGACAGAGAGAGAGGATGGGGGAGACAGGACAGAGACACGAGTTAAAGAGACAAAAACACGTGAACGAGAGGACAGAGGACAAAACTTTAGAGACCCTGAGAGAGAGGACGGAGGAGACAGGACAGAGACATGGACAGGATTTAAAGTGTGTCCTTTAGTCTTTAACAGAGACCTGAACCCCAGGTCTCTCTGATCTGACCCGGGTCTGTTTTCAGGTCAGTGAGTCTCTGAGACGAGGAAGTGAGAAAGGAGGAGGAGGAGGAGGAGGAGGAGGTCACTCTGCTCCTCAGGAGGAGGAAACACGTTTCTGCTGAGTCAGAAAAAAAAGACATTAAAATTATGAAACAGATTTTAGATCAAAGGTTTTATTTTATTAAAGTTTATTTTGAAAATTTAAACCAAAAATATAAAAAATAAAACAAGAAAAAAACAAAATGAGGATTCCTGCAGGAGGAGAAACTGTTTCTGATGGCATAAGGTGTATATTATTATTATTATTATTATTATTATTATTAATTATTGTTATTTATTATTTATTTTTGTTATTGTTATTATTATTATTATTATTATTGTTATTATGATTTATTATTGTTGTTATTATTATTAATTATTATTATTATTATTATTATTATTGTTATTATGATTTATTATTGTTGTTATTATTATTATTATTATTATTATTATTGTTATTTATTATTTATTTTTGTTATTATTATTATTATTATTATTATTATTATTATTAATTATTGTTATTTATTATTTATTTTTGTTATTGTTATTATTATTATTATTATTATTGTTATTATGATTTATTATTGTTGTTATTATTATTAATTATTATTATTATTATTATTATTATTGTTATTTATTATTTATTTTTGTTATTATTATTATTATTATTATTATTATTATTATTATTATTATTGTTGTTGTTATTTATTATTGTTATTATTATTATTAATTATTATTATTATTATTATTACAGATCAAGCTTGATCTGGGGTCTTTTATTGGTAAACTAACCGCACTTTTGCACTTTGTTTCTGGTCTGACTGACATGTGCTTTTCTTCTAAAGGAGGAGCGTCCTCCTCCTCCTCCTCCTCCTTCTTCTTCTCCTCTTTCTTCTCCTCCTCTTTCTTCTCCTCCTCCTCCTCTGACAGAAAAACGTCTCAGAGCAGCAAACAAAACGGCTCATCGTCACCTCAGGGAGAGCGAGTCAATACCCAGCAGTGAGTCACCGCCGCCGCCAGACCGCAAACCAATTACAGCCCCGACAGGCCTTTAACGCCGAGGCGGCGTGGTAATTATCCTGCAGGGATCAGAGAGTCTTTCTGCTCACGCCGCTAACACGGTTAATTGATAAATAAGAGACGGCGAGGAAAACCAGAGACGGAGAGACCAGAATCAAGAGACCACAAGAGACCACAGAGACCACGAGACCAGTCTCTGTGATCCACGGTTTTAGAGGGTTTATGAGACCGCTGACACGAGTGTGGGACTGTTACCCTGAAATTCCACCACGTCCGGAACGGCAGAGATTTTCACCGTCTGCCAATTCCTACCTGGTCAGATGCAGCATCTATGATTTCCAGTTCTTCGTTGAAAGGACAACTGGACTTACAAACGTCCTAGTAAGTCCAGTTGTCCTTTCTAAAAGAGTGTTAGATTAAGAGATCAGCTACGATCGGAGGATACGACCTTTTAGGAGACGATCAGGACCATCCAGTCCTGGTTCTGGTCCTGGTCCCCCTTTAGTACAGAGACTTGTCTGATTGATCTGATGTTCTGTAGGTGATGAACCTGTTGAACTCTCGCAGTCCCTCACAGAGCGCTCCTCTGAACCTCTCAGTTTGTTTCTCTCTCAGTTTTTTACAAACAGGAACGTTCCTCAGTTTCAGTTTTGTTGTTTTTAATCTATTTTCAATAATAACATCATATCATTGATCATTAACGAACCTTCAGATCCTGTTTTGATGAACTTTGACTCCTCTGGTCCTCAGGTCTGTTCATGCTGCTGTTACATCTTTCTACCAGCAGGTGGAGCCCTGAGGGAGACACAGATGAAGACAGAGATGATCCATGATGCTGCAGACAGGAGACACACACACACACACACACACACACACACACACACTTTCTGAATGTCCTTATTTAAAAACAATCATCAGATTTAATCCATATTTATTTATTTGTTCATTTTTTATTTTTCATACTTTCATTTCTTCACTTTTTTAACATTTGAATTTTTTTAATTATTACAATTTTATTTTTCTCTCTTTGTAACATAAGAAATCGACTATATTGGTGTTTTTTTCTAATTTAATTATTATTATTATTTTTTTTACTTCATCACTTTGTTTTGAGTTTTATTGATTATTTTAATTCATTAATTTTTTATCCTGTTGTATCATTTTTTTGTTCACTAATTTCATAAACACTAATTTTCAGTATTTATATTAATATGATTTAATTTCATGTGTTTCAGTTGAATTATTTTGTCTTTTTTCCTGCTGTGTGTTACAGGATGAAGTCTCTAATGTAAATATATATACGGGGGTCAGCAGTGTTATTATATTGACCCTCACTCTGCACTTCCTCCTTTTGACCAGCAGGGGACACTGAGAACATCAGACACCTGGGGCAGCAAGGTGAGTGTGTGTCTGTCTCTGATTGGACAAGAGGAGGACGTGATTGAAGGTCAAACTCAAAGTCGGACTAAGAGGTCACACACACACACACACACACACACACACACGCACATGCACTTACACACGCACACACACACACACACACACACACACACATATAAACAAACATAAGTTCGTCTTCAGGCTGTTTGGTGTCCATCGTCCACGAGTTAAATGTTTTCAGATTTGAGACGATTAGAAACTGTCCTGGGACCCAATCACTCTGTGTGTGTGTGTGTGTGTGTGTGTGTGTGTAGCTGCTGCTGCACTGCGTTGCCTCAGGGAAACATCTGTGTGAATATGGAGCGGGGGGGAATGATTCAGATTCAGCTGACGTCGGCAGAAGGAGACGAGATCCCCCACATGTTCCTACAACACACACACACACACACACACACACACACACACACACACACACACACACACACACACACACACACACACACACACATTCAGGACAAATTGTTTCTCTCAATATATCTGATAAGTTCGAGCTGTTTCTGACTTAATACCTAAAAAATAGACGTAATAACCTTTATTAACCCTTTATCGACCTTTATCAGACGTTTATGAGTGAAAATAAAATCTTTTAGTTTGTCTTTTTTTAAATCCTGACAGTCTGAAGGAAACAGTCAGATTTATCAGGGGAAAGCTGATGAACTGGTGAAGTAGCAGTAAAAAGAGAAACAGCGCCCTCTAGTGGAAGGAGCTGCTGAGTGAAATGATCACTTCTCTGCAAGTGTATTTCAGTTAGGCCACCTAACACTTAGATTATTTGGATCATATATATATTTATATTTATATATATATATATATATATATATATAAATATATATATATATAACAGCTTAATTTAATTTAACGCTCAGACTGACATGTATTTGTTCTTTTAAAGCTGATAACCAAAGTCTGTTTTCATTTCCCTCCTCTCTATCCTCTTATTTTAGACTCCATCATGAAGATATTAGACTGTTTTAAAGGGTTTTACTGGTTTAAGGTGGAGTTTAACTCAATGGTTTATCATGGGAGTGAGCTCAGTCCAGCTGGTTTCTCTGGAGACGGTGAGAAAGGAGAAACAAAAGTGAATTAAATTAAATACAAACATGATCAATATCATAATTTTTCATCAATAATATCAGAGCAAGTTAACTCAAATGATTTAAATATAAACAAACTAAGAAACATCATTTAACCATAAAATTATATATAATTCAGGAAAATAAAACAGAGATGAGTGATGGAGGGTCATTTTCCACTCTGAACTCTCCTGTCCTGATTACATTTATATAAATAAAGTTATTATCATTATTATTATCATTATTATTATTATTAATATTGATATGAAGTGACCTTATTCAGCTTATTCTTGTTTTTTTTAACCCCCGTCACCAACAGTATAAAATAAAAACATCTTCACCTCTCGTCGGGATCGGACCGGCTGAGATTTTCTTTGCTTGCAGGGTTTGTTAAAGGTCAAAGGTCACAGCGAGTCTCCCTCAGTGAGCAGGTTTGGACCCGTTCGATCATTTCAGGATGTTTCTGCAGACAAACACCAAAAACACGACCTTTGACCTCCTCTGTGTCGGCTCCACACCAACAACATACTGCTTATACATACAGATATACTGTAGAGATACAGATATGCTGCTAATACCAGGTGGCGGCCCCTAGTGGACAAAGTTAGAACTTTAGGTGAAACAGTCAAGAGTGTTCAGGTCAGTTTATGAAAAAGCCCCGCCCCCTAACCATGTTCATCTAAACCTCGTCCAGACCTGAGAACAGGTTTATTTCTGATGTTCAGTTTTAACATGGAGCTCTATGGGGACTGACTCACTGACAGACAGCCTCTAGTGGACACTGGAGGAACTGCAGCTTTGAGGTTGTCACTCTTATATTTGTATTTTTATCTGAAACAGATTTTTTAAACTGTTTTATTGTGATTATTTTTGAAGTTTAATGTTATTATAAATATCTATAATAACTCTGTTAAATATCATCTCTGTGTTTCATTTAAAGAAGAGAAATAATTTACAGATATTTTCTGATATTATGAGCAGGAAAAACACGTTTCCAAATCTAATTTTAGGACGATGTGGGAAGAAAAACATGAAAATAATCTGTGTGAAAATTATTTTGATGTTTTTTATAATAAACTAAAGAGCCGACTGTCCCTGTGAAATAAAACATTAAAGAACATTTTTAAACCGTCCTCGTATTTAAAAAATAAAGTTTCTGTTGATTTTTTTCACTAATATAAAGTTTTAAAAAACTGTTCATGGTCGGGTTCGCCCCCCTGCTGTCAGCGAGGCTACGGTGGCCTCTGAGGACACGAAGCTCCTGTGCTGCGCTGTGATTGGTCGAGTTTTAACATCTATAATTTTCTACATATTCTTCACAGCGACATTCACTTTTACGGACGTGTTTGAGGTTCTTGACGTTTTTCCTGAGGCCTCCAGAACCTCAAACACGTCCAGTCCTCCTTTTAATGAACACCTGAATAATTCAGAATTTTTTCTGTTGTCGAGACGTTAAAAGAGTCTCTGTAAAATAAAAAATAAAAGAATTAATTTTTCTCTTATTTTTTTAAAGCAGAACTCTAAAATCCACTTTTCTTTTTTTAATGGATGTCAGTGAAAACGAAATAAAGATGGAGGTGAAATATCCTGAATTAAAGCTCTGTGGTCTCTGCAGTCGTCTCACTTCTGATTTTTAAAGGTTTAAATGTTCGTCTCTCAGTTTGATAGTTATCGTGTTTTTTCTGTTTTTCTGACGCCGATCTTTAAAATCGAAGGAAATTTCAGTGAAGAAAAGGATGAGGTCATAAAAATAACAGGCCAGATATTAATGAGGAGAGAGAGAGAGAGAGAGAGAGAGAGAGAGCCCCTCCTCTCTCTCTCTTTTCTCTCTCGGTCCTTTTTTTCTCTCCAGACGCGTAAAACGGGCAGGAAGCGCAGAGCAGCGCGGACAGAGAGCAGACCGCAGAAGAAGAAGAAGAAGAAGAAGAAGGAGAAGAAGAAGGAGAAGAAGAGCAGGTTCACAGAGGAAAGAGGAGAGCAGAAGAAGAAGAAGAAGAGAGGGATCAGGAGAGGAGGAGGAGGAGTGTTGGATGTAGCTGCTGTCTGCATTGCTGCTGCTGCTGCTGTGGTCTTTGCCGTATATTTGTGGGGAATGTGCGTCTCTCTAACTTTGTGAGTTGTGAGTCTCTCATGCTGAGAGGAGGACGCAGAGGATGGGAGTAACCTGGTCCTCCAGATGTCTCGCTCTCTTTCTAGCTCTTCACATCGGTGAGTCCAGATTCATCTCTTTATTATTTCACTCCGTCTGAACTCACTCCGCTTCGATCCTCTGAGTGATTCTGTTTCTGCTCCTGAGGTTTAAAAAAAGCAGAAATCTGTTTTTTAATCTGAACTCCTGAAGGTGTTTTATTATCATCATTCTGTTCATAATTTCAGCTTTAATAAAACCATCACTCCCGTTTGAAGAAGAAGGAGGTTCATCATCATTTATTTTAGAGCAGTAAGAGGGGAAAATCTCTGAATCGTTTTTAGAATAAAAATCTCTTTTAAAATTTCGTCTTTTTCACCTTTTGACTCTGAATTCGTTTAAATTAAATCTGAGATGGAGCAGGAATAAACAGTCAGATCGGTGTCGGTGTTTCTGTGCTGATTTGGGTCATTTTTAAAGCAGCAGCCTCTTTATCTAACGGGGCTTCACTTCACCGTGTGTGTGCGTGTGTGAGAGTGAGGCACGAGTGCGTGCGTGTGCATGTGTGTGTGTGTGTGCTAACAAGGGGAATGCCCCCCTCCCTCCCCTCCTCCTCCTCCCCTGCTCCTCCCCCCTCTCTGCACCTCTCTTGTCCCAAACTGAAGATATTTGTGAAAATTTTTCTTCTTTTATTTTTTATTTTTTATTTTCGTTTTTAAATAAAAATCTAAATGTGTTTTTTTTTTTTGTTTCGTTTGTTCTAATTTGTCCGGATATTTCCTGCAGATTCAGAGACTCTGAGGTGGAGAACTGAAGCTGCCGTGATCGGTCCTTTTACCGGAATGATCGGGATGAAATTAAACTGGTGAAATTACTGGTTAGAATCATCGGATCGGACCGGTTCTTTTCTTTCTCCTGATCCGGTTCGGTTGCTCCGTCGTTCCCGCCGCAGTGTGCGGGTCTGCAGCATCTCCTCCACACCCGCTCCTCCTCCTCCTCCTCTCAAACAAAAACCTCCTCAGTTATTCCTCCTCCTCCTCTCCAACCTGCTGCTCCAGTTTCATTTTTAAAAACATGTTTTTATTTTTTATTATTTCTGTAAACGAACAAAAACGACTCCGCGCACTCTCTCTCCGTGCACGGCGGAGAAACGACGAGCTGCTCTATTTTTACGGTAAAAATCATCACGTGTTATTTTGGATTGATGGGAACGAACGTGCGCGAGGAGGCAGGATCCGTCTAATACCTGGGAGATCTGATTTAAAGCTGAGATGAGAGAAACACGGAGATGGTTCATATTTTCTGTTTTCTGCTGTTGGATTGCATAACGACGCTGTGGAGGAGGTGTGTGTGTGTGTGTGTGTGTGTGTGTGTGTGTGTGTGTGTGTGTGTGTGTGTGTGTGTGTGTGTGTGTGCGCGCGCGCGTGTGTAGCTGATGGCAGAGAGAGAAACGCTGAATTATTCAAGACGCAGAATCCTCCCCGGTGCTATTGTTAGAGAGAGAGAGAGAGAGAGAGAGAGAGAGAGAGAGAGAGAGAGAGAGAGAGGTGCAGAAATCATGTTCGGATTAATGAGACCGACCAGAACCAGAACCAAGAACCCAGAGAACCGCAGATGATGGAGGGAAAGAGAAGAAAGAGTTTAGAGAGAAAATAAACAGAAACGAGGACAGAGAGGAGCTGAATTATTTCACTCTGATGATTTTTTACTCGGAGGGAAATCGAATAAAATCGATTAATTAGTCTGCATCACGAACACACAAACACTCCTCCTCCTTCCTCCTCCTCCTCCTCCTCTTCTTCTTCTCTTTTTTCAGGTTTATTTTTAGGACTGATCCTCTCTCTGCTCTTCTCCACCTTCATCCACCTCTTTATTTTTAACATCACATTTATTTTACTGCTTCTTCTCAGAGCAGATTTTCGCGCCTTTCTGCAGAATTTTCCCTCCAAAAATGAAAAAACATGAATTTTTAAAAAATGGAAAAGAATAAAATTTTCAGCAGGACCGAAAAAAACGACAATTCTGACCTGATTCTCGTTTTTAAAGAGTTTTCAGTTAAAATGTTTTAATTTGGAGTTTTTTTTATGGTCACGAGGAGATTTTTACGCGCGAAAAGAAACATCCTGTCGTGCGTGTGTGTGAGGTGGGTGTGTCTGTGGAAGCTACAACACGCTGTTTCAGCGGAGATGCACTGCAGGCACCAGAGTGTGTGTGTGTGTGTGTGTGTGGAGGTGGGGTGAATGAGTGCGAGCGTGCGTGATTGGAGGCGTGAACGAAAACGCCGCGCGCATCTCCGTCTGTGCGCGTGAGCTGGTCTGTCCTGGTTTCACTCAGAAGAGAAAAATCAAAATTAAATAAAAACAAAAAAACGGTTTTTAGGATTAAAAAAAAAAAAACGAGAGGAGAATAAAAGTGAAAATAAAAAAAGATGAAAATTAAACAGAAATGAGAGGATTAAAAAATAAAGATTAAAAAGAATGAAAGATAAAATAAGAGGAGCTGTGAGCGGAAATCAAAGAGAGAAAATCCACTGAATAAAATAACGAGAATTAAAGAGTTTTTAGGGTAAAAAGGAAAATAAAAAGGTTTTTTATTCATTAATCTGTTAAAAACACTTTTCTGCTTCAGGGAAATCAGTCTGGAAAAACCGTCTCTGTAAAAGGTTTTATAAAAAGAACATTTAATAATAAGTAAAAATGAGTAAAAGGACATTTACGCAAGAAAAGAAAAATAGGAATCTGTGAAAAACGATTTTATATTCAGATTTTTATTAAAGGTTTTATTTAATTTACGTTTTAAGAGAAAAGTCAAACCTGCTGCAGAGAAAAAGAGGAGCGAGAGAGAGATGATGTAATGATAGAGAGAGAGAGAGGGAGAGAGAGAGAGAGAGAGAGAGAGAGAGAGAGATTCATTAAACAGTTCAGATTAAATCATAAAAAACACTGAGTCGATCTTTAATCCAGAGAATCTTCCTCATTTTAAAATTAAACTAAAACATTTTAAAAGTCTTTATTTGATGTTTTTTTAATCTCATATTTTCTCATGAATAAATATTTAGATGAATTTATGTTTTTAATGTTTCTGCTGATGAAAAAATGATGATTTTCTGATTCGATCAATCAGAGAGTGATTGATAATTGTCCAGAGGATTTAAAGGGAAACTGTTCGATTATTAATAATCGATAGAAAAGAGGATCAATCGTTTGAACGTCCTCCAAATATGAAACTCAACAGTTAGAGGTTTTTTTCTGCTCTTCTCTGTTTGTAATTTTTAATTTTTTTTCACATTTTTTTAAATAAACGTTTTAATTTGATTTTAAACGGTCGTGTCCTGCAGCGGTGAGTCTGAAGGACTTCAGTGACTTTGAGATGATCGGGTTTTTTCGTCTCCACTGAAGGTCAATCAGGACTCTGCTGCTCCGGGTTTGGACTGTTTCCTGTTTACAGGAAAACGTGTTTTTTTATTTCAGAGCAGACGGATCATCGGATCATCGGCTCGGTCCGATCGGTTCACCGACAGTTTTTCCTTCTGTAACCCTCCTGATGTTCAGGTTCGTGTATCTGCTCTTCGATCAGGTTGAACTGCTGAAGCTCATCTCCTCACAAACTGATCAATAACTCGATAAAGGATCAAACTCTTGTTACTGTTAAAAATAAAGATCTGCTCTTTCAGGTAACTCTGAGTTAAAGTTCCTGGTCTGAGGACTCTCTAAAAAGCTGGTCTGGGACCTTTGGTTCGGAGGTCTGTATCCTGCACTTACAAGGTGTGGCCAGTGGGGGGCAGTGTTTGGAGAGACGAAACAAAACAGATAAAAAGAGCGAGAGAGTCGGAGAAAAGAAGAGAAAATACAGGGATGTAAAAAAAAAACACAAACCTATTTTTTCCTTAAAATGTATAAAAATAAAAGATTTAACCTGAAAAAACATTTAAATAAATAAGAGTTATCATTCGAATAAAGTGATTTCTGTGAAAACGTTAAAGTGAGTCACAGCGATGAGAGACAGTACGTCATCATTATGAGATCAAAATAGACAAAATATAGAAAAACTTTGAATTATGAGCTGAACTGTTTTAATAATGATGATGATGATGATGATGATGATGAGGAGGAGGAGGAGGAGGAGGAGGAGGTAAAGTCAGAATTAAAGTTTAACTCGTTAGATAAAAAGTCATAATTAAAATATAATTCACATCCTAATTAAAAACTTCAAACAAAGAAGATAAAAATTCATAATAATGAGTTTTAAATATGAAATCACGAGAAGTCACAATTATTAACAGAAGGTTTAATTTTTTACACAAGATAATTATGAGATAATAATTACAAAGATATGAGGTCATTATAAGATGATGTGACAAAACTAAGATATACAGGAAAGTTATGAAATATTTATTTTGATAATTATGAAATAGTGATGTGATAATAATGGGATAGTTAGGCAATAATTATGAGATATTTATAAAATATTTATGAGATTATAATGAATTAGTTATGAGATATTTTTTTCAATTATTAAGATAACAGTTATGAGATAATTACAAGATGATGTGACATAACTAATATATATTAAAAAAATATGATAATAATGAGATAATGATGAGATAATTATGAAAAGGTGAAGAGATAATAGTGAGATAGTTAGAAAATAACTATGAGATTATAATCAAATAGTTATGAGATAATTATGAGATGGTAATAACATAGTTACAGATATTTATGACAGACTTGAGATAGTTTAAAGATAATAAAAGGAAAATATTGAAATAATTATGAGATTATTAAATGGAGAGAAACTATTATGAGATTAAAATCTTTAGATCTGATAAAAAAAAGTTTAATTCTAATAAAGTTATTTTTAATCTTTTTTAGTTTGATGTAAAGGAGTTTCTCAGTTAAACTGTTTCACATGTTTTTGTAATAATTCATAACATGTTTGTAGAGTTCAGTCTAAAGCAGGAACAGTCCTGGGAGGTAAAACTGACCGAGTCAATGAAGCTGGTTCTGGTTCTGGTTCTGATTCTATTTGTGGAAATGTTATCAACATTATTTCACTGTGTTTCTTTTTAATGTTTTAAAAATGTTCGTTGTTTTTATGCTGTGATGTTTCTGTTCTTGTCTGTGTAAATATCACTGAAATAATATATAAAGTTTCTGTATTTAGTTAAACTGCATTTTAAAGGTTTTACTCAAGAATTCAGTCATTTTAGATTAAAGCTCCTGTGAGGAAAGTTTGACTCGTATTTGGCGCCCCCTCTGGACAAACTGGATAAATCTGTCCGCTCTGTTTATTTTAGGTTTTTGTTTTTATCATGTCAGTAAATTTGAGTCTTTTATTTGTTGTTTTTTTACAGTTTTTTTTCATTGTTCAGTTTTCCTTGTCGGCGGGTTTGAACCGCGGTTTCTAAACGGGTCCGCCGGGTTAAAGGGGCGTGTCCCCTCGAGTCTGATTGGACACGTCACGCCGTGTTAGTCCTCTGTTTGATGGAGTGGAACCGACAGCAGGCGTGTTTTTATCAGAACTAATCAATCAGGCCGATCCTCTGCTTAATGAACCGCACACACACACACACACACACACACACACACACACACACACACACACACGCACGCTGAGTTAACAGAGGTTGTGTGTGTGTGTGTGTGTGTGTGTGTGTGTGTGTGTGTGTGTTAGAGATGTTTTATAGGCAAGTTTCAGTCTGTTGGAGAGAGAGAGGGAGGAGACTGACACGGCATTAATTACACACACACACACACACACACACACACACACACACACACACACACACACACACTTTCTTTTGAGTCATGTCCTGCTGAATCGGTGCGATCTTTAACGATCTTTAACGAGTTTCTCCGTAAATCGGGTCGTTGACTCGTCAGAGGACTCAGGGACGGGTTTGGGCCTCACGGTCAGGTTCAGGTCTGGTAAAGTTCTGGTTCAGGTCTGGTAAAGTTCTGGTTCAGGTCTGGTAAAGTTCCTGTTCAGAGTCTCCTTTAGGGGTCAGAGCTGGTTCCTGGTCCCCCTCAGTCCTCTTTCAGAGTACTGTTGAAGGAACATTTAAAGGGTTCAGGTTCCCTCTTAGGTTTAGTTCCTGTTTTAGAGGACCCTATAGTATAAGGTCCTGGTCTTTGGTGGTACCCTGTGACCTCCCTGTTCTGGTTCTTTTTAAGGTCTGGTTGAGGTACTTGAAGAGTCCTGGTTAAATGGTTCTATTATGGGTTAACTATGAGCATTATTGGTAAAGTTCCTGGAACAGGTACAGGCTGGTTCTGGATAACCTTTGACCTCTTCGTTAAGGTTCCTGGAGTGTGTGGCCTACAGGACCTTTCTAGTTAAAGTCTGTTCATCGGTACAGGACGACGTGTTTACGGGTTTTTAAATACATTTAAAGGTTCCCTCTGCAGGTCTGTATTCAGGGACCATGTGGTCTCAGTGTTTTGGTACCAGTACTGACAGGTTCACAGTTTTAGGAGCCTGAAGATTTGGTTCCTGGTTCGTGTTAGTATCGGTTTGTCAGGTTCCCCTCACAGGTGTGTGTTCAGGGTCTCCAGGTGATGGTTCTCTGTTTGAAGGTTCAGAGCGCCTGAAGCACCTGTTTTCCTGAACCTTTAACCCCCGACCTCCACCTTCATCCTGATCATCTCCTAAAAGGTCGTATCCTCCGATCGTAGCTGATCGTAACCATTCAAGTTAACGTGTCAATTTACACCGACTTCTTTCCGTTCCTCTGCGGATCGCCGGACTCCTCAGCTGATCACAAGAGTTCTAGTTTTTCCGACAAACGTCACGATTGTTCGCCGACACAAACAGGCGCGGAGAGCAATTTGTGTTTTGTGCGCATGTGTGTCAATTCACAGACGCATTCATCGTTGTGATGTGAACGACCGCACAGAAAGATCCGATTGAACAAAAAAATCAGAATTGTGGATCAGAACCTGCAGAGAGAACGTAGACGAAGTGTCTGTCTTTACAGAGACGACTCGTTATCGCACGATTAAACGTGAATCTTGTGAGTTCTCGTGATATCGATGTCGTGATCGGATATCCCTGAAAGTATAAAAATGTAAACAGATATTTATTTATCACCACGGAGAACTTTTCACTGTTCACTGAAAAACTAACAGACCTTCACAAAGGTTCCTGTTCCCTAAAACTACCCCAACAACAAATCAGCAGTTTGACCCCAAAAGTCATCAAAGAACGAGTCCAGACCTTCACAGTCCCCCCGGTTCAGAGTCCAACAAAAATGATCTAGCTATGGTTCTGATCCAGTCACCCCGGTCCAACAGAAACTACAGAACCACAGAACCATCCATCAAAAAGGAAAAGTCAGCAAAAACAGTTAGGAGACTCACCGGTCCTTGGGTTTCTCCCTCTGAGCCCGGTTCTGAAGTTCCTGGTCCAGTATCAGGGACGGTTGAGGATCACCTGCAGCTCTAGAAGAGTTCTGGGTTTCCTCACTCAGGATCAGAGGTCCGGTTTCCCTGGAACCAGCCGACCTGAAGCTTCTGTAATCATCTTCAGACTGTTGAGAGTCGTCCTTCAGGACTTTGGAAGATCTTCTTAAAAACTCTCTCTGAGCTCCATCTCAGAGTTTTTACTCCCTCATGAGTTAAACTCTCAGATCCTCTGAAGTCCTCCTGGTCGTTCCAAAGTCTCTAAAGCTGATCGATCTTTGTCCATCAGAGCTCCTCGACTTTGGAACGACCTTCAGAGGAGAGAAGGAGAACAGCAGAGACAGACGCTTCTTTAAGTCAAAGTTAAAAACTCACTTTTAGACTTGACTTGATTTTATCTTTTATCTTATTTCTTCTTCCTGTCTTTTTAGTCTTTGTTTTACTGATAATCTTTCTGTATTTAACCTTTTATTGATTTAGTTTTTTTCCTGCTCATTGTTGTTTTTCCATTTGATCATTAATATTACATCATTATTATTTTATCATTATCAATATTGTCTTTTTATATTGACTATCCTGTTTCCTCTTTTATTCCATTTCTTTTTCTTTCCTGTTTCCTGTTTTTGTTTTTAATCCTCATGGTCTCAGTTTATGTTCTCGGTTCTTTGATTTTCTGGGTTTCTTATGAAAAATTAAATTTTCCTTTAATTCAGAGGTTTTTAACTGAGCTTCTGTTTTTATTTGTTTTTATTTTCATGTGCTGTACGACTGTTTGTCAAAGAACTTTGTAAACTTCTGTTTTTAAAAGTGATATAAAAATAAAATAATAATAATAATTATTATTATTATTATTATTATTATACGTTTTTTCAGGATGTTGTTCCCAGGTTCTCTCTGACTCTGAAGGACCTTTTTCTCTCTGTTTGTCTTTAAACCTTTTGAAGAACAGTCGCTCTGATAAAACAGGTTTAAAGTGAAATAAATGAGCGCTGATGTTCTGGTCCCACTCAGTCCTGAATACAGGACCGCTGTAGTCCTGATGGGTTCAGGTCCGTTAGTTCAGGCGGACTCTGAGCAGCTGGACTCTGGTTAGTGTGAGGTTTGGACGGACCGTCCTCTTCATCACCTGAAGATGATTCAGAGATCTGGTTTAATGACGACCTTCATGAGTCTCCTCCGTGTTCATCAACACGTGTGACGTTAACATGATCACGTGTGACGTTCATGATGACAGTCTCATGTAGACCTCTTCCTGACGGTTGTTTTGGTCATGTTGAGTTTTTCTGAATTATTTAAGTTTCAGAGGAAAACTGTGACTTTAAACTCTCCTTCTTTTCTCCTCCTCCTCCTCCTGCTCCTTCTCCTCCTCCTCCTCCTGCTGCTCCTCCTCCTGCTCCTCCTCCTCCTCCTCCAGTCTCGGTGCTGCAGACGGTTCTGGTCAGCGCGGGTCAATGTGACTCGGTCTTTAAAGGTTTCTCCGACTGTCTGCTTCAGTTGGGGGAGAACATGGCGAACTATCCCCAGGACCTGGACGACCGGGAGAACCTGCACAAGATCTGCAGGTAAAGATGTGACCACAAAAAAACACAATAACATCTAACAAACAAGATCTTCATTTATTATTATTATTTTTTTACTTATTTAACATTTAATGAAATACTTAAAAAATCCTCAAAGTATAAAAAACATTTAAAAACAAATATTTCTCACAATAAAAACAAAAACTGTTAAATGTTTTTAGTTTTTATCATTTCAATTTTTTTAATTTATAGACACATTTTGTTTATTTTTATGTTAAAAAAAATCTTACATTTATGAATAAGTATGATTTTTTTTTGCATTTTTTACATTTCCTTTTTTGTTAAATATTTTTTAAAGATTTCCGTCACTCCATCAATTATTTTTCTGTATTTTTTCACCTTATATAATGTTTTTGCATTTATTTACATGTTATTTTGGTCATAAAATGTTTGTGAATTTGACCCTCAGGGCCACCGTACTGGTGCTTGTTTGTCAGTAAGAAAGAAAAATAACCAGACTGCAGTTTCTCCGATGATTTCAGTTTTTTTAAAGATGATATTTAAACACAGTTTTACACTAAAACTGTTTTTTTTTTCTGTTTCTTTAAAGTGACAGACTGAGACGACTTAAATATGACACAACAGTTAAAAAATGTTTTATTTACTGGAATCAGAGCCTCTAAAATCGCAGCACTGAGCTTTAATTTCACGACTCCATGAAAGAAAAATGATGAAAGTCGAACCCTGAGGGAGACCTGAGCGCAATATGGGAGGACCAGCTGACCCCCAACACCCCCACCAACCAGAGCGGGTGGGCACCAGATGGCAGAGGAAGCCCCCATCCCACACACACACACACACACACTCACACTCACACACACACGGTTTTTTAATTCAGTGACAGCTCCATCACAGCGGTGTTGAGGCGTGGCAGAGGGGATGCGTTAATACGCCTCCTAACACTCACACGCATACACACACACACACACACACACACTCACACACACACACACACACTCACACACACACATGTTAATTGCTCTGAGATGTCGGATCGACACGGCTCGGTTCAGAAGGTCAACATCAATAAGAGCAGATTGGAAGATTGGATTAGATACGCTGTGTGTGTGTGTGTGTGTGTGTGTGTGTGTGTGTGAGTGTGTGTGTGAGTGTGTGTGTGTGTGTGTGCATGTTAGGAGGTGTTAGTGAGCAGGCTGGTGTCGTCTTTACATCAACAGAGATGAAATAAGAGACAAAAGATGAACAGATTGATAGAGAGAGAGAGAGAGAGAGAGAATGAATAAATAAAGAGGAAGAGAGAGAGAGAGAGAGTCTGAACATAAGAGAAGAAGGAGAGGAGAGGAGGATATAATGAGAAAGATATAAAGGAGAAAAAAGGAGGGTGGAGCTGGTGGAGTAAAAATAAAACAAGAAGAAAGAGAGAGAGGAGGAGGAGGAGGGAGGAGGGAGGAACTAAGGAGAGGAGACAAAAGAGGCTCACAAGGAGGGTAGGAAAGGAAATGAAAGTAAAAGTAGGAAGGATAGAAGGATAGAAGGAGTCAGAAATAGGAGACAGTCGGTCAGCTGAGAACTCTTGGACTGAAGTGAAATTTCCACTCTGAGTTAGACCCAAGACCAGATCACCAGAACCAGAACCAAAGAGACTAAACACAACTCACCTACTCTCTTCCAGCAGACGCTTGTTTGTAGAGAGACCTCAGGCCAGTCCATTAGGGACTACAGCGGGGTGCCGCAGCTCAAGGAAGAACATTTATGATCATTTCTTCATGGAAATACAATCAGACCGAGACGCTAAGACAGAAGAACTACCGCGTCTGTAAAATGATCAATATGGTGATTATTACTTCAAGGAAATGATAAAGAAATGATCATAAATGTTCTTCCTTGAGCTGCGGCACCCCGCTGTAGTTACTAGTCTAACCCGGGGTTACGGTGGGTTTGACCCTACATTAGTTTTATGACTGAATATCCCTTTAAAAGACGTCCAAGTCTTCGTTTAGAGGGGGCAGGACGAGCTCGTCCAGTCTCCCTCTCTCCAAAGACCAGTCTAACCCTGACCTGGAGGAACCAGAACCTCCTCAGACTCTGGGTTTTCATGGCTCTCCAGTTGGATCTGGACTCTGATTTGGACCCTGGTTCTGGTTCCCAGGGAGAAGTCGGTGTTTTTGTGTCCCTGCCCGGTACTCTGGAAAAGACGGAGTAGTAGTCCGCTCCACGGCTCCACGCTCGCTTTAGTTGTTGTTTTCCTGGAGTCTAAACGGGTCCTCACGAGCGCCCAGATTCTGGGCCCGTTTCCACTCTTGGCGCTGCCTCCTGAGTAGATGATCCGGTCCGTTTCAAACCGCCTCCCACGGCGGTCACAGACTCGCTGCTAACGCTCTCTGTGTTTTCTCCCGCCAGTTACTGGGATAACTTCCACTCCTGCGCCACGACGGCGCTGGCCGACTGCCAGGAGGGAGCGACGGACCTCTGGGAGAAACTGAAAAAGGAGTCCCGCAACCTGGATTTCCGTGGGAGTTTGTTTGAACTCTGTGGCGGCGGCAACGGGGCCCCCAGATCAGCTGACGCCAGGGGCCTCACCTTGGTCCTCACCGCGCTGCCCACCATACTGACTTGGCTGGCGTTTTAACAGGAAGCAGGAAACGATGAAATAAAAACACAAAGTAAAAGAAGAAAAAAAGGAAAAAGAAACTAAAAGAAAAAGAGCGCCCGCTCGTCTTCACCGCCGAAGAAAAAAACAACGACCACGACATCGACTCCTCGGAGGAGGAGGACTCGAGTTCGACTCCATCACCAGAAAAAAAAAAAGAAAAAATACTAACTGGATTTTTCTACATCACGGTACGGCGGCCCCGTTCGCCTTCCTGGGACATCTGCAGGCCGTCCTCCTGCAGCGCTCATCCAATCACACGCCGACCTGACCCGGAGGTCGATAACATTAAATATTCAGCACGCCGTCGAGCTGAAATGATGACAATGATGAAAATTTGATGGATCCTCGCCCGCTTACAATCGTGGAATTACACAGTATTAAAGTCAACCCTGAATTATTCATGTTTAGTCGGCGAGGCCTGGACGGCGGCGGCGGCGTGTGACTGCGGGGTGCTGACACGGGATCAGGCTATATATTAGAGCTGCCTTATAGCCTGAGGAACAGACGGACGCCGGCCCAGCTCCACTAAATCAATAAGACCAGCCCGGGCCTTCAGCGCCAGCCGCCTCATCGCCGCCACAGACACGCTCCTTTTCTATCGCCAACCTGACTGCGTTGACCCCGGTCGCTTTGATGGACTGAATGCTTGACGGTGATGTAATCTTTGTATTATTATTGGCTGTTTGTTGTGTTCAGGCCACGGTCACACCGGCTCTGCACCAATCCCAATGACATCATCACTCCGCCAAACGCC